GCAGTTCTGTGGCTCTTCAAGGATCATGGTTACATTTGGTCCATACAGGCTTACAATTGACCAAGAGTCAAAGGAATATTTAAATGTTTCTTTGAAAGGCACATAAAAGCACCTGGGTTTGCATAATTTATCAACTAAGATAAATGACCAAATTCTTTTTTTCTGCCAGATCAGATAATCTGCTAGATTATTGTGCTCTTTATAGTGGAAAAATTCAGAATATCGCTTGATACCACAAAGACTGGAGTGTTATTTAAAATATTCATAACCCCATGAAGGTCTAATCTTTATTCTCTCCATTTTAATACATTTTTGCTTTTTAATATTTTCTGCCATTGTTTTTATGTGGAATGGGAGGCAGCTTTGGAACTGCATTACAAGGGAGTATGTATATATTTTAATAGAGATGAAATATTAAAGGTCAGTCAATGCTATAAGAAAGCATCCACTTTGGGAAATATGCCAAATCAACCATGCCCAAATGGACATATGCTGTTCATTACTTTAATACAGTAAAACATGTAATGCATTTTGCTCTTCAGTTTTTTTTTTAATGGAAGTTGACTTTTCAACAACAAATGGCACGCAAAGCAGCTAACGACACTTTTTGTTGCTGGCAATTCTATGCTGCCAATTCAAACTACGCTTCCATCTTTCAGATTTTAAAGGATATCCGTGCTTAAAACAGCTTGTTTTAATGTATCCGATTGGGCAACAGGGTTTTAAATGAACAATCCGCTTTTGCTAAATTACTATAGTAGATGCATGTGTGGAGTTTTGTGGAATAAATTTATACAACACTAAAAGGAACACAGTTATTTTTCAGTTATTAATGTTCATCGTGCCCCTTTCTAGGAGCTGCCCTTCATCTGAACAGGCACATAGCATGTTCTTTGTTTCTTACTTGGAGGAAGTGATAGCGAGTGAGATCATTCATTTTATGAGTCCACAGACTGATAACGCTTTTGATTCAGCTCAGCTCATTTATATTTCCCAGGGGCTAAAAATCCATAGGTGCTTAAAAGCAGCTTGCTCCTTTGGAGGTTATGAAGAGCTGGGGACCTCTAGTGGTTCTATTTAATAGTTCTTTTATTTGGTACTACAGAACAAGGTGAAAGTATCAGGCCAGGTGGAGAGAAACGGAGAAACAAAATGGGCAGGCCCACCTTGAATAAAGTTACTGACGTTATGTACCTGACTGGACTAAGTACTGGTAGCCCTTGACTTACAACCTCCATTGAGCCCAAAATTTCTGTTGCTAAGCGAGACAGTTAAGTGAATTTGCCAATCTTTCCTTTTCGCAATCCTTCTTGCCACAGTTGTTAAATGAATCACTGAAGTTTTTAAGTTAGTAACATGGTTGCTAAGTGAATCTAGCTTTCCCATTTGACTTTGCTTGTCAGAAGGCCGCAGAAGGTGATCACATGACCCCTGCAACCATCATAAATGTGAGTCAGTTGCCAAGCATCTGAGTCTTGATCACATGACCGCGGGGATGCTGCAACGGTTGTGTGAAAAACTATTTTAAAAATAAGTCATTTTTTTTCAGTGCTGTTGTAACTTCAAATGGTCACTAAATGAACTGCTGTAAGTCGAGGACTAACTGTACTGTTTGCAGATGATGATCAATTCAGAAAACGTCTGTAAACCCAGGACAGAATTTATTATTTGTCCCTTTTGAGGACCTGAGAGGATAAGTAAGTGGGGAACACAATACAAGTTTCTCCGGATAAAATGACAATCTATGCCACACCTACTAAGAAAGGACAGCCTTTATTTGCAGGAAAAGACATCACCATGCATAGAGATGTAAAAGATAGGAGATGCAACAATTCTGCCATCTTTATTTTGGGAAAACACAGGCACATGAGATTCCAAAAAGCAGCCAGCCCAGTTTCTTCCCTCCCTGACTGTATGCAAGAAGAGATGCCTGCTCACAAACCAGGAACACTCAGGCCACAAAACTGTACCACTCTTAGCTTAAGTTGAACACCAGAAAGGGAAAAATAAACAAGAGAGAGAGGGAGGGAGGGTGTGTGTGTGTGTGTGTGTGTGTGTGTGTGTGTGTGTGTGAGAGAGAGAGAGAGAGAGAGAGAGAGAGAGAGAGAGAGAGAGAGATCAACAACAGAAAAACGGGCGGCAAGAGTAAGTCTAGCCAAGATGGAATCTATTCAGAAGACCGCAATACCAGTTTAGATATTGCAAGCCAAGCATAATGGTATCCAGAATGGGGGAAGGTTAGACTTGCATTCTGATAAGCAGTTTAGGCCACAAAGTGACAATCAATCCAGCAATATCTGAATATATCCCATTGTTTTAGGCATGCCTGAAAACTACTAAGTGTTTTGTGACAGTTTAAATTTAAACAAAATCTCAAAAAGGACAATCACTTGATTATTTCGCTCTTTACACACACACACACACACACACCTCAATTGCTTTAAGGAGCTAATAAGTATTGCCTTGTAGATTTCACCTAGTCTTCTGTCTTTAAGAGTGGCTAACCAGAATGAGTGTATAAGCATAGGGAAATAGTTGGAGAGAAACTTCAACCTGCCATTTTCTGCATAGTGTAGTCTGTAAAGAATGGCATTAATCATATCAGATCCCCTAGATTTATTTGTTGTTTGATGAGGACAAAAATCTCATTTTAACCAAGGAGACGAATACTGCTCTTTCTCCTCCAAACCTTACACTGATATAACAGAAGCATTAGATGTAAACATCTTCAGGGAATTTTACGAAGATGCATTTTTGGTAAGAAAAAGAACAATTTTAAGACTATTTTTTTTACAATTAGATGCAAGGAAAATAAAATCAGCATAAACATATTCCTGCCATTTTCTTCCCCTGCTGCCAGCTGTTTCTTCTTGGCTATACATTACACTTAACAGGAGCAAATAATTTTATTTAGTACAAGAATCTTCTAGGTCTATTCACTCCAATTGCCTTTTGATGTACGAAGAGCAAAGCATTTATGGATCTCTAGACTTTTGACTTTATCTTCAAGGCTGAACTGGCCTTGATGAGAAGAATTACCATCTCTAGCATTTTATTGATCCCCTCCCCAACATACTGAAAACCATTTAATAAACTTCTCATAGATGTTGCATCAAAGTAACCTTCCTTTCCATAGCATTTCATCATTGTCGGGTGTTCTACATTTGGCTAGACAAGGCAAAAGTTGGACCTGATAAAACAATGTGGTTCTGTCTTAACAAAATAACCTTGCATCACAGTACAGAAAATGCAGTTCAGAAAGAGATGGCATTTGGAAGTGTAGGGGCCTCCACCATCCTAATTTAAGTATTATATGAAGTGAGCAGGGTTTTCAGTTTTGTGGAAATGGCCTTTCTACTATAAAAACGCAATAGAGTGGAGTGGCACATGCTGTTCTCTACCAAGGGTTTAAGGGACAACAGACACCAGAACTGATGGTAGGGAGAGCCAATCAATGATCAGCACTGTTCCTGAATTCCCTCCCCCCCAAACATGGCCTAGTCCAGGGGTAGGCAACCCAAAACACTTAAAGAGCCACTTGGACCCGTTTCCCACCAAAAACAAAACACTGGGAGCCGCAAAACCATTTTGATATCTAAAATGAAGATAACACTGCATATATCCTTTTTTACCTTTATTATAGGTGTGTGTGTGTTGTGTGTGTGTGTGTGTGTGTGTGTATATATGTATATGTATGTATGTATATATATACACACACACACACACATACACACACAGGTAAAAAAAAAAAGGATATATGCAGTGTTATCTTCATTTTAGATGTCAAAAGGGTCTCTCTCTCTCTCTGTCTCTCTCCCTCCCTCCCTCTCTATCTGCCCTTGGTCTGCCTGCTACTCCTCTTCCCCCGCTCTCTTTCTTTCTCTCTCTCTCTCTTTCCTCTCTCTCTCTCTCTCTCCCTCTCTCTCTTTCTCTCTCTCTCTTTCTCCCCCCCCTCCTATCTGCTGCTCACCTGACAAGCTTCAAGCTGTTGTCCAACAAGATAAGGGGTAGACAACCTCATCTCTTTTATGACTCATGGACTTCAACTCCCAGAATTCCTGAGTCAGTCTAGCTGGGCTAGCTAGCTCTCTCCTGCCCTTCCTGCTTCCTGCAGAGACGCAGCAAAGGGAGGAGCTCCGCCCAGTAAGCTTTTCAGCTCCTCGGAAAACACTGTGAGTCCACTCTCTTTTACACACACACACACACACACACACACACAAACACACACACACAGAGAGAGAGAGAGAGAGAGAGAGAGAGAGAGAGAGAAGCAGGGAAGCACAATTCCTCTCTCTGTCTCTGTCTCTCTCTGCAAAGGCAGACGAGGCTGGGAGCCGCAGGGGAAGGCTCAAAGAGCCGCATGCGGCTCCGGAGCCGCAGGTTGCCGACCTGTGGCCTAGTCTATCTTTCTCCTATCAAGGATTTTGAAGACCCTAATAATTAAATCTGAAATTAACTTTACATCTACAAATACAGGGGTCTTCAAACTTGGCCCTTTTATGACTTGTGGATTTCAACTCCCAGAATTCCTCAGCCAGGCACACGTACAAATAGAAGGAGGGGGGGAAGACATGCATTGATTGATATATACTTGATACCAAATCTATTGATCCTGCCCCCCAAAATAGCCTTTAGGATCTGTTCCTGATATGAAATCTCTATCCCCAGTATTACGGGATTGAACCACCATATGAATCAAGGGACTGGATTGTTTTCATCAGTCCCAGTGGCCAAATAAATAAGGGACAAAAAAACACAGCACATTTCCAAAAAGTGTAAATTCAAGTTGTTGACTCCTCAGCCCCAAATTTAGAAATTACTTCCCATTAATAGAACTAGCTACTTAATATTCTCACAGGCTTTGGGAGATTACACAAGTCCAAAAAGGAAGTTCTATGACAAGTTCCACAAAATGGCCAAAGTGCTAGTGCTCCAAAATGAGAGCCATTTCATACGCCATGAGAAAGACTCTACATTTACACAGAATAATTTTTTTTTTCTGATGCACAGCTGCATACTGAAAAAACACCTATTAACGTCATGATCAGGAATCCTAGTAAGTTATGTCTCTTCCGTGTTTCTTTAGAAAAAGCCATTTCTCCTTCACATAACAGGGCAGGAAATGAAGTCAAGGCAGAGCAAAAAGCAGCACTGCTGTACTCTGACACTGGAGTTCACAGTCATCCTGCAAATGGAAGACTACCTTCTTCCCTCAAGACTGATAGGGCCAAGAGGACCCACAATTTTTGTTGGCAGAAATCCTCACATGAACTAGTCACTACTTTTGCCAATGAAACTGTATGGACGCAGCAGGCAAGTGACCTCTGCAAATATCATATTTATGACAGTGTTAGGTCAGAAGTCCTACTTGAGGTCTCATTCAAGCACAGAAACCTTGGGCTCTAGAATAAGTAGTAGCCTGAGTTTCAAGAGAAACATGCATTAGCTAACTAATCAAAACAACATACTTCAAGAAGTTTTTCAGCTGCCTTATAGACACAAAAAGGTATTTACTTTTTAACTCGTACCGGTATCGGACAAGTTTGGAGGACAGTGAGGAAAAAGAGGAAAACACAAAGAGGTAACTCAACTAAATGAAGGAAAGGTGGCTTCAAACTAGAATCTAGTTGTTCCCTTGAGGGAAATGCTCATTTCCTTTTCCCTTAATATAGTCATGGTGTGAATATATTGAAAGTCGCTTTTGAGACCTAAAACCTTCCCTCTTCCCCATAAGGCACAGGATATCTAAAAGGAAACCATGATTTCCTCTTTATCCCTGAATTGCAGCTCCCTCTCTCTCCCCACACCACTTCACCTCTGATTAGTTATCTAGAGCCCCAAATTGCCCTTTCTTAGGACTTAGTAGCAAAATCTTCCAGATGCATGCTTTGGGGCCAAAGAAAGACCCTATGATGGCTGGCCAACTTCTGGGTTTGGTTTTCAGAACCTATAGACCAGCCTCACGCAGAAGTAAGATTTAATCTGACTCATTTACTACTTCTGCACCCTGATATACTGGTAAATACTAAAGCTTCCCAGGCCAGCACCTGCTTGTTCAAGGCACTTTTCTTTTTTACTGCTGCTCAGCTCTTCCTGCATTTTATGGAAATGACCAAACCATGTAGCCTGTATCTTTTCAAGTATTTCAACCAAGACCAAGCCTTTGCTGGATCCATACAGATCCAGTGGGAACCTAGAGGCCGTAGCTTTGAAAATGACCACCTTTTGTGGCCATATCTGCCCAATAGGAGGAGAGGATGAGGAAAAAGGGAATTCTGAGCCTGAGTGACCAGGATATTCAGTACACAGTAAACACATGCAGTTCTTTTGCAGCTTGTACCCTTTGATCACGAAGCCAAGGCCACAAAACTCTTCTTTGTGTGCATGTGAATCACTGGCCATAAAGTCACAAGCCAGGTGGTGATACCGTATGTGGGTTTAAGGAATGGCCCCATATGCTTTCCAGGAACTATTCCCATCATTATTACTCCCCTCAAAAGCCAGCATATAAAGCAAGAAAACAGCCTTTAAAGGTGGCTGACCACTGCAGCAAACTAATAAATTAAATTTTTTTTATATATCCTCAGGTAACAATGTGGAAAGAGCTTCTAAAGGGAATCAATCCCTTTCAAACAGCTCCCTCAGGCTGAACCCCAATTTGGGGAAATAGTGGCCCACAATTAGTAAAACATCAATATTAAAAACGAGACAACTGCATTGTTTCAGTGGCTTAGAAAAATATTAAAGATGCCTATTCTTCCAAGGCAATTTATCCACTCTCAGCGGCAGCTTGAGGATGGGGGATGGGGAGAGCCCCCTTTGGCTTGTCCTACTTCTCAAGACTTCCAGAGAAAAGCCAATCCCAGAGAGCGCTAAGTGTTCCTCTGTCCTCCTATCCTGTAGGCTATGAAGGCAATACGGCCAAACACTCCATGTTCTGCTTCATGTTTGCTCTGCTCCTGCTGCTATGGCTCCTGCTGCCTCATCCTTGGCTGGGGGTTCCATGTAGATTGGTGTCACTGAAGAAGGTTTTTTGAATCTAGGAAAAAAGGAAATTGGCCTGGAATTACCAGTACAGAAAAGGAGGTGAAAACTTAGATTCAATAGGATGAGTAACAAAATATATAAAACTGTCTCGAGGGGCAAAGTATTATAGAATGTTCTAATCTGGTGCTTTCTAGAAGCACCAAGTCTCAACTTTAGAATTCTAAGATATCAATCAATAACTGAGGTTGGGGGAAAATGCAAGCTGGATGAGTTGGATTGCAATACATCCATCTAACCTACGTAGTGCTGTCTGATTTCTACTAATCCTCCATAGTATCCAACTAAAGTATTATCCAGTGCTTTTACATGGAGACTGGATTTGGAATATTTTGTATGTAGAAAATGCAGAACATTTCAGCTTTTGCCCCTTCCTGCTTATCTTTTCATAGTTGTTCTATTCTGTGAAGATACACAATAGAACTTTTCATCATCCACTACTAAATAAACTGTGTGTTTCCAGTAGATGCTTTCCTTTTGCTCCAGGGCTTTTATTAGGCTCTATTATTCCCATCAAAATGACTCTTATAATCAGTTGTCTCTATGACCCTCTGATTCCCAGTTTAAATGTTTTCATATCTCTAGATCTTCTGAAAAATCACGGGGAATTACAATTCACTGAAAAGCAAGGGTGCACAATTTATGCTGGCCCAAGGATCACATCTGGCTTTTAAACAATATAGCAATAGCAGTATCACTTAGACCTATATACCACTTCATAGTGCTTTACAGTCCTCTCTAAGTGGTTTACAGTGTCAGCTTATTGCCCCCAACAATCTGGGTCCTCATTTTACTGACCTTGGAAGGATGGAAGGCTGGGAGTCAACCTTGAGCCAGTAGAGACTGGGCAGTGTTTCCAAAAAGTAAAGGGTGGGATTTGGACAACAGTTGATTTTATTAAATATACATGTAAATGTAATTAAAATTATTTTAATATGATTGCTGTCCAGTTGTGAATTTAACAGTTTCTCCTTTCTGCATGTTAAAAGTTGCAATTTAAAAATTAAATCTACACGTTAAAAACTGCAATTTGAAAGCCTTTGGAACTACATCTATAGATTACAAGGGCTTCTTGCTTTAAAATTCGACACAATGTCCATTTCACTGAAGAATTAAATAAGTATACCAACTTGCAGCAGAGCTAAGCAATGGACAGATGCTAATTACCCATAACAGGAGATGTCTCCATGAGTCCCTTTAGGGAAAAAAAAAATTGATCTGACATTTTGTTTACAAACAACATGTGTAACATCAAAAGAAAAGGTGCCTAACCAAATAATCTGGCCATAAAAGTCTGACAGGAAAAAGAAAAGTTTTATACAACAATTAAGTCTAGTTTGACCCACAAAGATGACTTACGAATATGGAGAGGCAGGGACTCCTACGACCAAGAAGTGGTTCTTTTTCCGAAAGAGCCGCCATAGTCCTTTATGATTCCCCCGGACATCCAGATCCCAGATGTGGAGGCACTAAAAGAACAAGTTATAACTGTCTGACAGCAAGACTGAAGGAATCATATGATTCAAAATCTAAACCAGCTGAATGCTTCTAAGGAGTTTTCAGTACTGGCTTGCAATATAGTACAGCCTAAATATGAGCATGAATGCCTCTTCAACCTTATCCCAGGTTGGGCAAGAAGTAAAGGTGGAAATTAAACAGATTTTAATGGTGATTTTTTTTTATCCTGTTATCTTTTTACCAATTATTAAACCAAATATTCCTACAAAATGAATTAAGTTTTGTACATGGCAATAGCTACTAGAATATTGTATACCTCTTAATGGAAAGTACAAATAATTCCTTCTGTAAAGAATGATAAATTAAGTTATGGATGTATGAATCAATGTTAAAGCAAAGTTTCTTTTACAAAATAAATCTGATAGAAAATATAACTCAATGTGGGAGGTATTATTTGATTATAATTTTATAAGCAGATTTGTACTACATCTCAAGTTCATTTTCTTCTAACTTTTAACATTTAGCATTTTTCCTTTTATAGTGTGCTAAAATCATTAAAATTTCTAAAAGTTATTGCTTTTTAATTAGCTTATAATTTATGTTAAATCATACTGCCTAAAGCTGTTAATGACTATATGACAACTATATTGAATTCTGTTAACACTTTTGTCAACTTTCAAATTGATATAAGATATTTTAATATGTAGATTATCTATGTCATTTCAATGTTTTTCTTTCAATTTTACAGCTCTTAAAAACCTTGTCTTTATTTACAGTTTCTTTTCTATGTTTTCCTTGCTTCTGTTTCTGATTATATTTGTTAATTTTCTGTCTGTCTGTCTGTCTGTCTGTCTGTCTGTCTATCTGTCTATCTATCTATCGGCCTATCTATCATCTATTTATCAAATACCTTGGCAAGCTGAGTCCAAGTAGTGAAATCTGCCTCCTGCTCCATCTTTATATACGTCACGTAGGTTTTTCCTTCAGTGTCTGGGACAAAAGAATCCTCACAAGGATTTTTGGTATGATCTAGAACTTCAGCCTCACTGAAGAAGTGGGTGAAAATAAGACAAGATCAGAGAGGCAAGCAGATAGAAAAGTCCATAATAAGAAGCAAGTGCCACATTAAAGATACTAACCAGGAACATACAATCCAAAAAATATTAACTAACTTTGACAGATAATAAAATGCCTTTCCTACTTCAAAATCAAAATATTTTTAAAAGGTATGCTAGTTGCCAAATTGGCCACAATGCTCTTCTGGATTCAGCTTTCAGGCATTTGCCAGCATTTCATAATTCCAGTCCTAACATTTTGCATACTAGATCAGGCCATACAAGATCAGGCCATATTCACCTCTCTATCAGTTTCAGTAATCTATTTTTTAACACATAAGGTACCTGAGCAGACGATGAAGTTCAATTTCATATGCATCTTTCTTTAAACTATACAGTGGAAAGAGAAATAAAAAGTCAGAACCGAAACTGAATTGCTTTATACAGTAGAGCAGCGGTTCCCAACCTTTATGGCTTGGCGGCCTGGAAGGGGAAGGTGGAGGGGAACTGGGCCACTTGAGTGGCAGGCTGGCGCATGCCGCACACTAGTGTGTGTTTACACTAGCCTGCTGTTCACGCAAGGGATGTGTGCTTGGACATGCACCGGCTTGCTGCTCGTGCGGCCCAATTCTGAACAAGTCACAGCCCAGTAGTGGGCTGCGCGTAGGGATTGGGGAGCCCTGCTATGGAGAGATGGGACATTTTGCATACTCTAAGACTGTGTCATTAAAAGATGGTGGTAAAATGGCTGATTTGCAGCAGTGTGCTTTCTTCTCCCATCTCCACATCCCTTCCTGCCAAAATAAGCAGTGAAATCTTAAGTGCGCGGGGGGGGGGAGAGGTAAGAGGACTCCTCTTATTTCCATCCTTAGCTTCCTGCTGATCCTCAAAACATGGCCTAAAATCATATTGCCAAACTTCAGCCATTTTGCTACTGAAGTTCTACCAAATGATTTACCATCCAGAAGCTTCTACTTCCACTTTCAAAAAAACTCCTCAGAAACAGAGGAAAAGGAAGAAACTACAGGCACTTGTGTGTGTGTGTGTGTGTGTGTGTGTGTGTGTGTGTGCGTGCGTGCATGTGTGTGTATTTACACAGGGCTCAAATAATAATCCCAGGGAATGATTGCAGAGATAAACAAGCCCAGTAAGTGCTGCAGGTATTAAAGCAGGTACTGTTAATCCCAAAATGTTTTTTTTTTTTTTTGTAAAGGCGTTTTATAGTCAGTGGGCTGTTGCTCAAATGTGATATACAATTTGAAGTGCTTTTTATTTATTTACTTACTTACTTAATGTATACTGAGTTTTCCGTAACGAAATGTTTTCCTCCTGCAAATAATACACTTGAAAGCCCCTATTAAACCAAGCTGCACCAAACTAATTGCTCTTACATTTCTTCTCCTCTATTTTTATTCCATTCTTTCTTCTTGTTCCTTGTTCTCATGATATGGAACATTTGGATGTATATTTGTTTGAACCAAACTAGAAGCTGCCAAGAGGCAACCACTGAGTTATAATTTACAAGTCTACTCTTGGTGGGGCATTACTAAATAGTCTAAATATTAGTAAGGGAATCTAATTTCCATCCTGGGCAGGCTCTCCTGCCAAGAGTATTATATTAGGGTTAATTTTGACTTGCTCATGTTCCTCAAGCACTTTGATATGGCTACATTCATATTAGTGAGTTGCCTACACAGGAAAGCTTATGCTTAGGTCAGAAGGCATCCATGTCTCCTTACCTCTCCACATTCTTAAGCTGTACATTGGGGACTGTGTTGAACTTGTGCTTTTTGAAATAGGCTTCCTAGAAAAATATGAATGGGGAAAAAAAAGTGGTTTTAAGCATCATTCACCCTAGCTTTCCACTTTTTCCTCTAAAGTACAGTAGGGAGAGTACCATGGCTACTGCATACAAACATTTGCAGGGAAAATATTTTGCATCATCGTCCAAAGAAGAACAACTGCAGCTAAACCATCTCATTTGTATCATAGATAAGCCTAAAAGCAATCACTGGGGAGAGCTGTGCTTGGTTGCTGAGTTTTGTTTATCAATGTTTTGACTAAAAGGACAAATTGCAAACATTTGGATTAGGGAGTAAATCAACTGAAGACAATATTGATTGCTTTCCTGGGTCAATTCATAGTTAGTCTAGTCCTCTATTCTATTACCTAAGGCAGAAACTCAATTTTCTCTGAGTTCTCACAAGCAGAAGATGAAGATTTAAACCCTATTTTGCCCATCCAGAGAAGTTCAATTTACTTGTAATGGTCTTTGAATATTAATATAGGAGATTAGCATAGGCTATTAAAATATCAGCTTCTCCTCTTTCCAAAATTATGCTGCCATTGGTAGACATTGTTTGAAAGGTGAGGAAGCCTGTCAAACTGAACAATCTAACTGTTCTTCTTCTCCAGTTGAAACCTCTCAATACCTAAACAATTTATTGTGGGAATAAATAAGGATACAAACAGAAGCTACTATTTCTGCATTTAAATTAATAAGAGTCACTCACATGGAAGTAGCCATTCATGTTGAGGCCAACAATGCCAAAGTGATATGAGCGGGATACGTCTGGGATGAGGCATTCACGTCCTTTCCGCTGTTCTGGCATGCGCATCCACATGTCCCAGTCCCAAAGCTGAGAGAAGAAAACAGACAAAATACAACACAGAGAAGAAGCCTTTTTGGGAGAGCAACTTATTTTGCTGCAGCCCCCATAAAACCCTCTTGAAGTTTGAAGCAAAAGTTTATTCAGCCCAAGTTTCAGATGCAGGTTCTTATTATTTCTCAATTTTGAAAATGGAATGTATCCTGGCAGAGATTTCTGTTCCAATGCATACTTTATATACAAGCATAAAATCTGGACAAAATGGGAATACTTTTCATTGTGTTTGATTTCAGTTATTTTCTTTGGCATTAGAAGTCAGGCCTTTTTAAGGCAATGTTGGATTTATGGTTTGTTTTAAGGATTATGATTTTAGAGTTAGAAGCAAGAAAAAATATAAACATATATACATGAGGGTGATTTTTAGAACAAATATTTTAAATAGATTAAGAATACTTTTTGGAATAATAGATATATTTTGACGAAAACTAGGTATTGGAATTGAAAAAATGTTGATTTTTTAGACTGGGATGGTTTTAATAATTAATTGAATGTTTTAATTTAGTTAGATGATTTTTTTGTACAATAACATAGATGTGATAAGGTATGACAATCAATTGGATGACATTTGAAGTTTGTGTAATGAATTGAAGTGAATTAAGGTTTAATATTATTATTTTTAATTAAGATAGCTATTGTGTAATGGAAGAAGAAATAAATGAGATTGGTGATAAAAAGAGGGATGAGAGAAATTAAGAACTAGAATACATCTGGAAGGGATACCTGAATTGATAACTTTTTTATTTAAAGTTAAATTTGATCTTCGTAACTGCAAACTGATAAAGTTTTAAAACAGGTTTAGTAATAATAGAAATTTAATTTAGAAATGAAATATTTTAAACATATTATGTTACTTGAGGGAAATAGAGAGGAGACAGTAAATGTATTAAATTGAGTTGTTTATTTATGTTTTCACTTCTGAATGTCTGATTACCCAAATACCACGGTGTGTCCTGAGTACTTTTTCTTAAAAATTAAAAAACCAATAAAATATTTTTTAAACAAATAAAAAAAAAGTCAGGCCTTTTTAGAATCCCTGACTAATGCAATTATATAGCATTAGTTATGTATCTGCTAGTCACATAATGGTCCTTGATTTTTTTTAAAAAAAAAAAATAGTCTGGGGATTATAGAGTTATAAAATGGCAAGTTGCTGAGCTTATTACTTAAGTAAAACCTAAATGCTTTAAAAATGCATTTCTAATGCTCCTCTAATGCTTTCGTTGTTCTTTTATATCCCACATTTTTTAAAACACCTGCGTGCTCATGATGTGATATTTAAATTGCACGAATAGCTGAGGATGGTGTGAAGTCATTACAAAACACACACACACATACATGGCCAAATATTATTTAATTGTGTTAATGGTTAGACCTGTATTAAGCATTCTCAATTGCTTTTCCAAGTCCAATCAATAAAATGACTTCTAAGCAGACTGGTAGAGAGGGACACAGCAACAGTTTGCCGATGCTTGCCTTTATGAAGAGTTTCTTTAGGAAGAAGAAACTAAATTTACCTTTCTCAACCCAGCTCCTCCAAATCTGTATCTCTGAGCTTAGTGGTTGGAAAAAATTAGAAACGGAATTCAAAGTATTTGGTAGACATCAGATTAGAAGACGCTGGTACATTAGCTCACTATTATTATTAAAGCAGCAGGTCTTTTTAATAGCTATCATGAAGTCAGTTATTTTAATATAATATTTTATTCTGTTCTACTGAAAGCTTGATGAAAGCTTCTAAAACTTTTCCTCCTGGTTCTTTTTTGTTCAATTCTAGATGATTTGGGGGACGATTCACAACTGCTTAAAACCTTAAAGCTATATTTATGTGTATAAGCATAAAAAAATTAAAGCCTTTCCAATGATAACTTTTCCTAATTATGGAAGCTTTTCGACTAGAGTGTTAGAGCAGGTTTTCTGAACCTGGGTTGAACTTCAGATACAGTATATGGATTTTATCTTCTAGAATTTCTCAGCCAACGTGGACTTTAGCAATAATACTGAGTTTAACTTATTTGGAAATTGTAATGGTTAAGAAAGAGTATAGCTAGATGGCCCCATAATCCCAATGATGCAAGAAAAGCTACCATTAACTCATTATGAATACCAGATGGTAATAAAGCAAAACTGCCCATCAACCTAAACACACACACACACACACACACACACACACACACACACACACACACACACAGTCTTAATCAGTAAGGAAAAACAACCTGAAAAATCAGACTGACCTTTTCTGGTGTTGGCCACTTGGGCTCCAATTCATCCTTATACAGAGTCTTTCTTAGCACCCAGCCCAGGCCTGGCATGGTCTCTACACGATAGAGAAGTGAAGGGTCTTCAGCGGTATGTTCATACCCCTAATGACCCAAAGAGAAAGATTTAGGAAATCTTCGCTCATCACACAATCCTTCATCCAAGTTTGGGGAAACGAGGTAAAATGTGATCAGAGTTTAGAGTAAGAAATAACTCACCTGGTCATTCCATGCAGAGATGCAATACAAGCTGTCATCTTCTTCCAGCAAATAGATAGACTGGCTTAGAAAGCTAAGAAAATGGAGAAGAATGTCAAAGAACAAGCCAACACTGATTTGATTTATGAGAGTAATGCTGTGAATTGCTTAAGACTGGGGCATTATTTTGAAAATGAGACTGCTTGGACAAAGTCAATGAAGCGCTAGCGAAACTAATGACATGAATGAGTTACATGTGCTACATATGCCCACACTTTGGGTATAAGAATTGGAAAATGGGATACCGAACAAGCTTCAAATGTATGCAGACATTTTGCCTAAGATCTACTGACTCATTTTGTGTTCAAAGCTGATCCATACTTTTCAGTTTAAAGCAGTGGTTCTCAACCTTTCTAATGCTGTGACCCCATAATACAGTTCCCCATGTTGTGGTGACCCCCAAGTGGGTGTGGCCACCAATAAGAGGGAGTAGGACAGCTAGGGAAAAAGGGAAAAAATGGTGGACAGCGTGGTTTGGCGACCCCCGTGAAATGGTCATTTGACCCCAAATGGGGTCCCGACCCACAGGTTGAGAACCACTGGTTTAAAGACTTTTTCTGTGTCATCTTGCATACTGTGACCCAAGTTATCTTCCCTGACCTTCAGAATTTCTTCTGATGGGCTTGATGGAGGAACTATTATCCTACAGTATTTCCCTTGCAATGGAGTTATATTTTCATTGTCAAAGGCAAAACATTCATCTAAAACTGGCCAGCCACACTGACAGAAGAACCCAGCTGTTATTCTTTGCTGGCAAAACAAAATAGGACCAAGGTAGAAAATGAATTCAATTAATACCTGAAGAAATCAATGGAAATGTCCAAGTCTTCTTCCAATACCACAGCAAACTTTGCATCCTATAAAACAATCAGAATAGAAGGAAACCTACAGTGTTTCAAAACTATATACACATTTTCACTCAATGGAAAAATTTCTGGGAAGCTGAAAATCCAGCAATGAATATAAGGACCTTTCTTTTTTGGCACCACCTAAATAATCAAAAACCTTATTTCTAAAAAACATGGCATTATGCATATAAGAAAAAGAGCCTCTGCAACTTCAAGGTTTACAATAGGTGCTTGTTATTATAACCCCTTCAATTAATGTTACATAGCTCTCAGTAATTACATGGAAGAGCACATTCTAAAGCAGAATTTTCCCAAATGAAAAGATCTCTCTACACTGGCAAAAAAAGAAGAGCTAACCAAGCCTACCGGATGCAAGTTGAATGTTGCAGTCAAACTGGCCTTGTAGTGCTGTATGGGGACAAAAGAAGGAGTAAGAATGAGGATGTTTCTCAAAATCTGTTCATTCTCATCAATATGTTAATACCAACAGAATCATTACTGAAAAGCTACTTTTCAGAACATTCGACCAACCATCTTTATCTCTAGGCCTCGTTTGTGCCTCAAAACAGAATGATACATACCTCGCATTTTTAATCATATAAGGCTGACAAATTCAAGCCCAGGTTTGATGGAGAGCCAAGACTTGTGCTTTTTTTTTTTTTGTAATGTTTTATTGATTTTCTAATTTTACATTTAAGTATTTAAAAAGCAACGTGGCGGCTGGGTTAATCGAAAATTCAATGACATACAAGCATCTTTAGTACAAGACTCAAACTACCACATTAAATATTTCCTCTCTTTCCCCTTAGTACTTACTGTCTCATGTTTAAACTAATACAATTTTTATTATATCAATTAAATAAAAATAACATTCTTACATTTATCAATAATTAGCGTATACATATCCTGGTTATTTTAACATTCAATTTTTATAAACAATCAATGTCCTAATTAGTTTTTCCCAATTTTTAGTTTCCCACTAATATTTAAGCCAAGGCTTGTGCTTGAGCTCATCCACCACAAATCAGTCTGGAGGATAACATATACACAATAGGATTTCTAATGGAGTTCATGGTTTAATGCAGGGGTGTCAAACTTGCAATGTCACGTTGCATGTCTCGACGTATCGCAACTTTTTTGCCATTGCAGGCAAAGGGGTGGGCGCGGTTTCATCATGATGCATCTGGCCCGTGGGCCGGCAGTTTGACACCCCTGGTTTAATGGAAGCAGCAGTCAAAGCAACAAAATGAGCCACTCACCTGAGAGACCCTTGCATTTTTAATGCTGATGGGTGTGTGTTGGATTCCCTTCAGGCCAAACAATTCAACCACATCCATTGGCTCCTGGAAAAGAAAGGAAATTTGTGGGGTACAGAAGGTTTTTTGAATTGCGCTCATTATCATCTTGATATGAATTCTTCCCATTATCATCTTGATATGTTTCTGGGATTGGGCAAGATAATTTCTAGAATAGAGGTAGACAACCTGTGGCCTCTAGATTTTTCATTATAGTCCTCAGTGTGTTCTGTAACCATTAATGCTTACTACTACTACTACTACTATTACTACTACTACTACTACTAATAATAATAATAATGATATAATAATTTATCACTATTTTGAGGCAGGAAATACATGCAACTTGCAGTGAAAGCTGTACACAGTTCTTAATTTTGTATCAGTGTTCTGCCCACTATGATCCTCAGGCTTTCAAAATGTGTTGTATTCTGACACTACCTACATATATCTTAGAACTTCACCCTTCAGATCCTCAATCTAAGATGCATAACTTCATGTACCTAATGAAAATTACTGTCTACTTCTAAAAAAAAATAATAATTACCATCCAAATTCCTATACATAAAGTTACTTATCTTTTTAAAACGGCACATTCGCATATATTATTGTAGTCATAATATATCTGATGATATACTTTTTCAATGCCAAACACTGAAGGCTCTTTATTTGCACATGGAATAAAAGTTGTTCATTTTGTTCAAAGATAGAAGTGGATCAGAATATATATTCCATTTGCATTCTATTAAATAGTTACATCACGGTTTCAGAGTTAGTAGTCTATGTTATAGGGATAGCCAGTGGCAGACATTTGACTGAGCAAAGCCCCTTAAATAATCTTTGAAAAAAGGACATAGTTTTGTGTCACTATAAATACAATTTACAATTAAACATCTCTGTAGTTGGATGGTGTCAACCTTATCATAGATCTGGTCAATTGCTGAGGGATTTAGTTTGTTAAGATGGACTTCTCACTCAAACTGATTTCTGAAATCTACAGTGATCCCAAGGCTTCATATCTAGAAGTTTCTTACCTATAAAAAATAATCCATTTATTTTCTCATACATGCATAAACATAAAACTGAATCCTTCTGTGCCTGAAAGTCTCGCTTTCATGCTGTCCTTCTCTAACCAGATGACACAGTTTCTGTGGCAATAAAACAAATCTGCAAAGGAGTATCTACCATGTGAATAGAGGTATTTCTTTTCAGGAAGAAAAACAGCTTTGCTTTATGGACCAACAAACCTAAGTCTGAGTTGAAGCATACCAGTTAGTAAATACAGGTAGTCCTCGACTTACAACAGTTCATTTAGTGACTGTTCAAAGTCTACAATGGCACTGAAAAAAGTGACTTCTGTTTTTCAGAGTTACGACCTTTGAAGTATCCCCATGACCATGTGATCAAAATTCCAATGCCTGGCAACTGGTTCATACTTATGACTGTTGCTGTGTCCCAAGGTCATGTGATCGTCTTTTGCAACCTTCTGACAAGCAAAGTCAGTTTCACTTATCAGTTACTAACTTATCAACTGCAGTGATTCACTTAACAACTGTGGCAAGAAAGGTTGTAAAATGGGGAAAACTCACTTAACAAATGTCCCACTTAACAACAGAAATTTTGGGCTCAATTGTGGTTGTAGGTTGAGGACTACCTGTAGTATTATTGCCCCCAGAGCTAATTTCAAGGCAAAACACAAAGGAAAGAAGTAGTATTAATAATATAAGGCATGGATCAAACAAAATCTCCTCAGTGTTTTTAAGCAACATATATTTGCAAGGCACAGATAAAGATGGCTCTCTTAAGGTTCCCATCTCACACAGTGCTAACAAGGTGAAAGGCAATTAGTGACGAAAGGCAGAATGTATGCCCTCTGGTCCTCTGCAGGCTCTGCGTTTATCTTGAGAGCCTTTTCAAAAGTTCTCAGTGAAGTGTATTTTTTTCATAAAGAGAATATAGCAGAGGAGCAATTTTAATTTGAATTAAATTTGAAAATTAAGATTTGTCTTGGACTCACTAACTGTTTGATGTTCAGAATACCACCCAAAGGCCAAGTGCTGTAACTGGACCCTTCCAAAGTAGCAGATCCACTCCTCCTGATGACTTACCTCATAATATCCATCAATAAAAACTGTTATCATTTGAGGATTGACCCCTTGTGCTGACAGCAGAGATCGTAGCATCCTAAAAAGAGAAGGGTTAACATATTTGCTGTGATTCCCAGAAAGCCTTTTAATGTATTAATAGAATATATCTCCACTTTTCATATAGGAGCTTGAATCTAATCTAATATTAATGATATAAACTTGACTAACATTTGTTCACTTTAATCCCAAATTATGTATTCTATGCCAATCAGAGTTGACTACCTAGAACATGAATTTTGTTTACAAATAAAGGATGAGATTTGCAGGATCTCAGATTTACACTTTTGTTTTATTATAGGTGAAATCTTACAGTTGACTCTTTGTATGACAACTGTGTGCTTTCCTTTTCCCTTCCTTGCTGGATAGAGACTTTCTTTGTTCGGAGGGACAAAATCAAGAAAACCTGACCACATCATTTGGGAACTGGAGATTATGTTCCAATAGAAACTGGGTACGCAAGAAATATATGAATTCTCCATTTGACGTTCCATAGCAATCACTTTGTTCCTACTAACTGTCTCTCACCTGTACAGGTAGTTGGGTCTGTTCCCTGCAATGACAGCAACAGGTACATCAAAAACTGTGTTGTCTTTGAGCTAAAAAAAGGAACACCAGAAAGAGAAATTTAAGATAACCAACACCTCTCTTTTCCCCAGTGCGCCTTTTATTTTTTTCTTCTTACACCTGAACATTTAAGGCAGAGTTTCCTGAGGATATGTAGTCTTCAACTCTCAGAATGGACGGCTGGGGAAATCAGGCAACTAAGGTCCATGCATTTTCAAGTTACCAAGATTGAGAAACACTGATTTAAGGGGAACGCTGGGAACAGCTAAGTTCCATATAAGCAATTTTTCCTTGCCTGTAGTCTCAGATTTAGATTATGAACTGAAACCAATATTGTCTGACCACTTCCAGAATTAGGATTGTATAAGTAGGTTTTAAAGTATACTACTTATATGTTGCAGAATTCAGAAAAGATTCCCAGTAGAATTTATATTTGTCTCATGTATCTCAAATTCAGAGAAGTAGGCAGTTGGCAAAAAAAGGAGCAGATTGGAAATAAAGTAAAAGACAAAAAAGATATGAAGGACAAATATAAAAATCAGATGAAAAGACCTTTTTTAAAAAATCTAACTCCCAGCTACATAGTCTGGTAAACTTTATTGCCAGATCGATTGATCTATCTATCTATCTATCTATCTATCTATCTATCTATCTATCTATCTATCTATCTATCTATCTATCTATCTATTTCATATTAATCATTTGATGGTTCAGTTAAATCTATGTAATTAGATAGAAATTTTGTTTCTAGCAAGAGTTGGTGAAGGAGAAGGGGCATTGTTGTACTTACTGGATCAGGATTGAACTCTATAGGTGTAGGATCTTTACAGCTGCACACACTTCCATAACCTTCGACTTTGCTGCAGAAACGCTTCCGCCGCCGATTCAACTCAGTATCTGGCCAATGGCATTCTGCATCTGTGGAATATGTCATATGTATGCATACGATTGGCTTGATGTATACAAGAGCTTTGAAACAGATAAGTCTTTTACGTTCTGCTACAGTCAGCTCAGAACATTTTTAGGATGCTTCAATCTCTGAAGCCCATAAGCAACAAGACATCACTAATGATCAAAATTATGAATGAAAATTCAAAACATCTGTATGGCAAACAATGCCTGGCTGCCAAACAGAAAATGACCTTTAACAAAAAAAACCTCTCTTCTGAATATGTAATAAAAAAAATAAGATCTTGTCTTCAAGGTAGCTTTTAATTTCATTGGACTTGCTTCAGGAGAAACCAAGGAAAACAGCACCATAAGTCAGTGTAATAGCAGCTGCCAATTTCTGAATCTATCTCTAGTTCAGCCTATCATTTTGGGTTTCGGTAGAAAATCAAATGAGAAAAACTAAAATAACATACAGATAGTTCTTGACTTACAACCACAATTGGGATCAGAACATCTCTCACTAAGTCAGACCATTGTTAAATGAATCATGCCTGATTTTATATATATATAAAGTACTTGACAATTATACACAAAGTAAATTATTATCCCACTTCAGCAGAAACTTTACTAGTCTTCTTCCTCAGTTCTTTACCTCAAACAGGTTCCTGGCTTCCTAGCTTTAAAGCTGTTCAAGATTTGCTGGATTATCCAGCCTTGTCTCTACTACTCCTTCTTGGGAATGAATATCATACCTTCCACAGAGGTTAATTGGACTTCGGTTTTTAACAAGACTGGCTCTCCCCAGGAGGAAAGCAGTGGGGACTTGGCATGTTTCTCACCATACACTTCACCTACAGAGAACACAACACATGATGGTCAAAAGGCAGCCAATAACCACTCACTACCTGGGCTTGTCCACTGTTAGATCCCTGATGTAGCAATCAGTCAGTAATCTTACTTTTTTGCCCTTTTTTTTTATAGTGCAAAAGAAAGATTAACAAAATATCCCTCTATGGTACTCAGAGTAGGAGGTGATAGAGACACCCTCAACTGTTGTAGAAGAGGGAAAATTGGTTTAGGTATGAAAAATTGCAGTTGCCTATGCCCAACTCCCCCATATTATTAACAGAAAAAGTCCTCAGCTTCTCATGCTCCAATTTAGTGGGTCTGAGACGTTCTAATATCATAAATAGATGAAAAGCAAAAATCTAGAGCAGAGCCAAACAACCCACCAGGAGCCCTCTCCTGCGTCCCTTTCTCCCCTGGGAGATTTCTGCCCAAGTTTGATCCTGACCTCCTTTCTTCCCCACAAATGTCCACATGTCCCTCCAGCTGAGAGAAGCTGCAATCTGGCTCCCTAAACTCTTCAGAAGACTCTTGGCTGTGTCTTTAAGGTGGAAGGAGCCCTCATCCTGAAAAGGAAGAAATCCCACAATATTAATCCAGATATGTGATTTATATACCCTTTGAATATAAAGAATCTTTGGATGCTGTTCGATTCTTTTAAGCTAAAGCTTCATTTTTCGAAAAATAAATAAATAACCAACCTGTAATAAGATGTCACAGTAAAACTTGTTTTTTTTTTACTTTTCTAGTGTGTCATATAATTTAAGAGTAAATACATACAAAACTACAAGATTAAATTTTCAGATACAATCCATAAAATTATTGTATAACAGTAGTGCAATCACCTTTTTCTTCTTTGTCAAAGTGTTTTTAGCTTTATTTGACTATTTTCAAGTTAAAATAGAAATTTAATTTCTGTTAGGCGTCAGTTAGCAGAATGAAAGAAAAAAAAAGTTACAATACCAATTTCAACTTACCTTAATTGTGAAGATAAGGATGCGACCCTTGGCTATCATGTTGAGGAAGAGGACCATGGCCTCATCTTCATGGGGAGAATAGGTGTCAAAAACCCGCTTTGCCATCACATGGCCCTACAAAACAAACCATAATTGTGTTAGATCGCTTCTTCTCAAATTGTGACCTTCCAAATATATTGGGATCATGACTCTTTTTTTTTGGAACTTCAGTTGAGACACTGATATACAGTAGGTCAGCTACTGGGAAGGATACATCCCAGATTTTGTTTAAATATAAGGACAAACTTCCTGATTTGTACAACAATGTAATGGCCTACCTACGGAGGTTTATTTATTTATTTATTTATTTTATTTATTTATGAGACTTATATACCGCTTTAAGTGCAAGCACTCTCTAAGCGGTGTACACCAGTAAGCAATATATATATATATATACATTGCCCCCAACAATCTGGGTCCTCATTTTACCTACCCCGGAAGGATGGAAGGCTGAGTCAACCTTGAGCCGGTGAGATTTGAACCGCTGACCTGCTGAACACAGTCAGTTAAAGTGGCCTGCAGTACTGCACTCTAACTGCTGCGCCACCTCGGCTCTTTGGGGACTTTCTATTGATGGAGATTAAGAAGAGACTGAGCAGTTACCTGTCGTGGATGGTTTAATTGGCTTTTCTTCTAACTACAAATATTCTGACTAGATCAGTGATGGCGAACCTATGGCACGGGTGCCAGAGGCGGCACTCAGAGCCCTCTCTGTGGGCACGCGCGCCGACACCCCAGTCCTATGCCTTCAGCTGGGTTTAATAAAACCTTTTCACTTTAGGCCTCTGCCGCCGTGCAAAAAAAAAAGGTTCAATCAATCAGTCAATTTCAACTTCTCGCGGGGAAAAAAAAGATCTTGCAAAGTTGGAATTGATTGTTTGAACTTTTTAGTCCCACCCAGTCTGGCATTACCACCACAGCCACGCCCACTCAATGGGCCACACCCACCCAATGGGCCATATTCACCTGGCACCCAACGATGCATAAGTGGGTTTTGGGTTGCAGTTTGGGCACTCAGTCTCTAAAAGGTTCCCCATCACTGGACTAGATGATCCTTATGGGCCCCTTCCAACTCTTTATAATTCTTATGTCCGCAACAGAGGAAATATTTTAAAAACATCTGGCAGTTTTTTCCAAATTAATCCAATTAAGGAAATATCTCTGCCCTCTCTTCCCCATTACAACACTGTATCTTAGCATGTATTATCCCAATTCATTTTCTTAATGAAAAGAAAATGAAACATCTGTCACATTCAGGCAGCTGTGGAGAGCTCAATGCCAGGGAAGGTCCACTGCATATAAAAGCAGGTCTTCCCAGCCACACATCTTACAGGCTTATGGAGAAAGAGGGGAGGAAGCTGGCATTTAGAAATTCCTCCCTCCATAAAGGAACTTACTGGAAATACAGAATGGTGAAGCACCTTTTCACTATAGCCAGTTGGGGAGTGCAGTCACCCATGGTAAGCTCACTGAATTGGATGAAGGATAGCATAAACGCAGTCCTTGACGTACGACCATAAATTATGGTTTTATGCTACACCAGTAATTAAGTAGGCCACACCTGATTTACAATCTTTTTTGCATTGGTTGTTAAATGAATCAACATCCTAAATCGTGGTCACATGAACGCAGGACACTGTAAAAAGCCATAAATGCAGGCCAGTTGCCGAGTGTCCAAAATGTGGTCACATGATGGCAGGGAGGTGGAATCCAGTTTATAAGTCCCCCTTTTTTGGGGGGGGGGGAAAGAGTCCATCATAACGTCAAATGGTTTCTAAGCAACTGGGCTTCAGTCAAGGATTGCCTTTATTACCAAGAGTTCCTTTTATACTTAGTATTAGTTTTGGGGAGCATAGGCCTGGCATAGTTCTAGAGGTCTAGAAACTTGCCAAAACCTTCAGTGGAGTTTAAAAGACTTTTCTGTAACTCTGACCAAAAACACAGAACTCTGAGGGAAAAAATCTATTCCAAAATGCAGCTTTTTTGGACTTCAGTGATGACTGAAGATTAGTTTTGCGTAAATGTAAGAAACTCCACACTGCCTTTGCCTTTTTGTCAGGAAAAAGGAGCACATTGGCCTCATTTAGGTCACATTATGTTCTTCATCACTTACTGTAGCCTGATTTAACACAATGACATGGATGCCTCTGCCTTGTTCCCGGGCTTCATCTTCTAAAACCTGTACAGTTAACAAAAGCAATTGTTATCAAACTATCCTTTTCACACTTGTTATCCTTGTCAGTCCTCCCCTGTTTCTTGAACATCATTTTCTTCCAGAAATTTTCTTCAGTGATGTTTGTAACTCAGAATCCCTCTGAACTAGCTTTTGCAACTTAGTTCTGCTCTTTACTCAGAACATAATCCAACATGTTGGAAAGAATTATAGTCAGCTTTTATACTAAGAACTTCGAAGAGGAGATATGAAAGCATTATAAGGTGAAAGCAGCTCATGAAATTGTTTCATGATATGCATATGTGTGGGGATGCAGACACATAGGGAAAACACAGCATAACTTTCCTGGATTCCTTACAAAACCACTACTCTTGTAAACTGCAAACAGAACACAAAATGTGCTCACTTTTCTATTAATGAACAGACTGGTGTTTGTTTGTTTTTTTAAATAGTATTGTTCCTCCACCATGAATGCATTTAACTAGAAATTTTATTAAAAAACAAAAGGTCATCCAAAGACAGAAAATGAGTATTGTATACTCATATTTTAAAGTTACAGTTCTACATATGCTTGCTGGCCTAACAGGATGCAGTAAAACTGAAGCCTGAATACACCCACACCCAAACCCACACCCATGGTCAAATAATGCAGGAAGAGACTCCAATTCAAGAAGCACTATACTCTCCTTCATAGTAAACTATGTAAGAATGTATTATTGCCCTGATTCTTGCATCTTACAACTGCAGTGCAGATTCTCACCGTGGTCCCATCAACTGCAACATAAACCTTGGAGCGACTGGAATAGACCTCAATGTCCAGAACTTTTCTGCTACTCACAGGCCGCCGAGGAATCTCTAGCTTCTGCAAACCTTCATCTAGGAAATGAGAGAGCCCCATATTTTAGATTCTTATGGCCAGAGGTTTAATCTCTTATCCTGTGGCAATCTCCACATAAATTATGAACATTCTGAAAGGCCTTCTGTATAGTGCAGGGGTCCTCAACCTTGGCAATTTTTAGACTTGTGGACTTCAACTTCCAGAATTTGCTGGCTGAGGAATTCTGGGAGTTGAAGTCCACAAGTCTTAAAGTTGCCAAGGTTGAGGACCCCTGGTATAGCGTATATGTTCTCATTTAGCAACTACCTCTGATAGCGATCATTCACTGTTACGACAGTAATGAAAAAAATAACTTTGTGACCCTTTCTCACATTTACAACCTTCTCAGGTTTGTAAAACAAAGGAAAGCTGATATAAGATTGTAAGCATAGTTGGGATGTCACTTAGTGACTGCTTTGTTTAACGACCAAGTTGCCAGTCCCAAATATGGTCACCCAACGAGGACTAGCTGTATACCAACAGGTTTAATAAAGTTTATTCATGAAAGCACAGATAGAACATTTGATGTGGAAGCATGTAGAATTATCCCCCAAAGGACATCATGTTGTCTATATAAAAAGAAAACTAACATTTTTCCTTCCACTTAGCTTTTAACAGTCTGCAGCATAAGATTAAAGACTTCAACTGAGTGTTATTTGATTTTAAAATTCTAGTTTAATGGTTACCTGGTTAAACTAATTTTGATTACTCAGTTTTCATTTGTAAATACAAGATATTCAATTTTCCGGTTCTTCTTCCCTTTGACACTTAAATCAATATTCTCCTGGCCATTTTTTTTATTTATTTACAAAAGCTAGAATATAAACCATGGCCTACTTGCTTAATTTTACCTGGAAATGTTTAAGGTCTGGAAGGTATTACTAGTCCAGTTACATATATTTAAGAAACAGTGTCTTTCTCTCTCTGAACTATCAAAAACTATTTTCCAAGCAACACTATCAAAAATTTAGACCATGTTTAATGCTCCTATAACTAGAAATATGGAAGGGTATTCACTAGTCAGGGGTTAAGTAATGTTGCATGGAAAATTCATTCTCCAATCACAGAACAGTCTACATTCCCTAGAACATTCCATTTCTCCCAGAATGTGACTACCAATCACACAGTACATTCTAAGACCACCATCTAATCACATTTCCAGCTCACCATAATCCTGAGCTGATTCTTCTTCTTCACTGGCTGCTCTTCTAGTGTCCAAGATCAACTTTATGTTCACAATAACAGTTACCAGCAAGAAAAGGACTGCTCCCATCTGTAAGGCAAAAGCCTCCTTCGTTAGATTAAGAAAAAAATAGATTTGGAAAACCTGATTCTTAAAACTCCTTCATGATGAAAACACAGATTTTTATGCTAGACTTAACAGGAAGGACTGGAAAAGTGAATGACAAGAACTTCTTTGTTGAACTTTCCCATTGTTATTTAGGGATGAAATCTAGTTCCTGCTTCCATTTACCTCTATTTTCCTCTAAATTTTTTTCTTCATTTTATGTACTGGTGGGCCTTTCTGTCATTGTGCAGCACGTACTTCCTTTATCATGCATAAGGATGAAATAATGGAAAATACTGAGTTTTCTGCAGATTATATCCAGGTTTCTATAGTAAGTAGCCAGCTGTTCATTCCTTAAATGAACATTCCTTAAACCAAACTGCTGACTTTTGGAGATGGAAATCAATTTTTGGATTAGGTGTCATACGACATAAATATGGAATGTTTTCCATCATTTATTAATAGAAATAAATAAGTGGCATACAGTTCTTTAAGTGAACTGCATTCATGTATGTTAATAATAGTTGTGACAATAGCAGATCATGTCATGCATTCATCTGTAGCATTCGTTTAATATCAACCTTACAACATAACGCTTAAAATATAAGATTGATCTCTCACCACCATTCTTTTAGATGACCCTAAAAGAATTTATACCATAACAGGTTCAAAAAGACTGCCTTCCCTGACAAACTGTGAACAGATTTTAGGGCAGTGAAAACAAGCTACTTGATAGGAATATGGAGTCATATCACTGGTGCAAACTGCAGCAAGATTTTCTTAGTGGAGCATGCACATTATATTATCCATGAAACAAAAGGCTGTGTAATACGAAGGGACAGTCTCTGAGAAGAGAGCTGTCTGCACAAAATGAGTATGATTTATGCTATTTTCTATCTCAGAGAAAACTGCCAAATAAAGCTCACTGAATTATACCTATAAAATCAGAATGCCTCTTATTATTCAATCTATCATCTTGTTTCCTCTCTTTTAAGAACAGCCCTAAAAGTAGAGCAACAGTCCCTAGCTTTTATGGATTATGGATCAATTTTAAATCTTAAAAATGTAATGGGTGGCTACCTGGATGACAAGTGTAGAAGAAAAGTATATTGAAGAACATAAGCATAAATAAAGGCAGAGTCTGAGCCTCAAACCTAAAACAATTCTTTGAAACATCATTTTATGCTGTAGCACCAAAGGTTCTTATACCATAATTGTATACTACCTACCAAATGACTAGCATTAGAAAGTCTTTATAACTGCAAACAAATTCTGTCCCATCACTATGGCAATCAGAAGTTTTTGTTTCCCCAGGTATATCTAGTGCAGATATAAACAGATTTTTATGGATGCTATGTAATGCGTTTTTTTTTTAACTTCTCTGTGTTTCTGTCTGTATCCACAGAGATCACATCAATAATCTTAGGACCAAATCACTAATATTTATCTGTGGATTAGGATTCACATCACATCTAAAATACATTATAGCTGGAAATCAGAAAGATTTAGAGACATTCAGTATATTTCAAATAGCGATATCTGATGGGAATTAAAGGCAGCTTGGACATCTCTAAAGGAGCGGGAACAACATTGAAGCTGAGAATCTGGCCAGAAGGCAGACACTGGCCAGTGAAATCTCTTCAGATCAAGAAGAGATTGTGAGATAAGCCCATCTGTACTCCAGACAGCTGCTCCTCAGGAGTGAACTGCATGAACAAAAGTTTTTCAATTAGTTCCTGAGTCAAGCAGCTAGAAATTGCAGTATTCCATCTTCACTCACAATTGCAATGTAGCCTATTTGGACATTAAATCCAGCCATCCTAATTTCTTAGCCACTTTTGAATATAATTAACGTGGAGGTAGATTTTTTCCTTTGCAGCAACTCTGCCCCCTTAATTAGTGTAACTTTTTTTCTGTATTACTAAAATAAAAAAACAGTCTAAGATTCAAAGATTCAGAAACTTTTGGCACAAAATGTAACCAACAAATGATTTGAAAAGTTTTTAAAAAATGGACAAAGGGGACAATAACTTTTATTTTTACTATGCTTATTTTTTGATGAAAATGCTTTTGTATAAACTTGAATTAAGCTAGCCAAATGGATCAGATATTCGTGGGAATGCTTTCTGTTTTAAAGTTAAAAATAAGAAGATGTTAATAAAAATTAAAAAATGCAAGCTCAAATAGAATTGATAAATAAAATGTGCTTCAAAATTGAGAAGTAAAGCATTTGGGCATTGCACTGAAAAAATACAAATTGTTTCTTCATTCTATTACAATGTTTTCCCAAACAAGATGTTCTAAAATCATTTAACTACATGTCCTATAATTCATATGCTTATAGATGCTCAAATTTTTCTAATTTCCTACTGGACACAAGATTTCCCCCCCCCACAAGAAAGCAACTTCCTCTACTTAATTTATCTCCACAGAAAAAGAGTATCAGTCTTCCTTTCATTATATGGTAATACTATAAAGTGTTATGTGGATATGTGACATTTCTACAACATATTGTATGGTGGTATAATGATTAAATCTCTGGTGATGAAGGCACAATGAGCAGATAGGTTTCTATGGGAACCTGAACTTGAAGACTCCTGCCTACATGTAGCTAAGGTGTCTGGATCTCCCACAGCACTGACAGCTCTGTATTAAAGTTGCTATTTTAAGACATGGGGATCCAGACAAGATATTGCAATACATTTGTCATGCCTTCCTGACTGCTACACTGTCAGTCTCTAGAATGTAGCAGCATGAATTTATTTCCCTTTGCTAGGGAGATAAAATGTCTAAGAAATCCATTATTAGTCACAAATCATCAGTAGTAAATCCAAAACAGAACTGGGAACTGTGTTTGAGAGAGCCATTTCTATCCTGTGTTGCCCTACAATGTTTAATAACTTGGGAGGCCCAGAGCAGTCTACATAAGGAAAAGTGATTTGGTTACATTATAGGCGAGGGTGTAAACAAAACCCAGATTTCCCCCAGTTCCCTTCAGTTCATTTTTGGGGACCTCAGGTGAGAACATTTGTCACACATGGAACAACCTACCTTGCGTCACACAAAAAATGGCTACTAATCCACCATGGTTTTTGATCACGGCAATCACAACTACTACTGTACATGATTTTCTCCATGAATGTTTGCTGAGTTCATGTGTGCATTTATTTCCAAGTATAAATATATGGATCATTTGCACACTAGAATGTATTTTAGGAAGGAGGGAGGGAGGGAGGGAAAGAAAGAAGGAAGGAACGAAGGAAGGAAGGAAGGAATCATTTTTTTAGTTTATAAAACCTTACCTTTCCTTGAAAAATCCTAGCCCCCACCTCATAAATCTGCCCACTAAGGTCCTCAATGGTTTATGCACATTACTCAAAGTAAAACAAAACACCAAACCAGACAGTAGTCATAAGAGGATCTTGTATCAGAAATAGCTCCAATGATTTATCTCAGTGCACCACTAGGGTTTCAAGTGGATAAATCAATTAATAAAGACTTTAATTGTTCTTAGGGGTTAAATTATAAACTGCTGCTCTTCCCTCAGCCAGTACTGCAGCTTTGATGTATGTGAATATATCCTAACAAAAAAGGAAATGATCAATCTGCTTAAATGAACTAATCATTGTCCATATCCAATGGCATGGACATTTCTGCAAGTGTTAATAGGGTCCTCAGCAGGAACTTTTGCTATCCTATTCCCTGCCAGCCAATGTACCTGGGTACCAGGTTGCTTTGCCAAAAACAAAAGAACAAAGAACACCCCAGATTATGCCTGGCTTCCAATCTCCTTTCATATGCAGCACAACCTTAACTATCACTTCTAAATAAGGCATAATTGGCTTGGTTATACATACTACAATACACCCCGGTGTGTGTATTGCAATCTGTAACAGACCAATTCAACTGTTTAGTTAAAACAGTTACAGTTAAAAAAGCAATGCACATAAGTTTTAAATGTATCAATATACAGAGATAAATCACATGCAAAGGTGGAGACAAAGACAATTCTTTGCTCAGAAAGACAATAGAAACTGGATACGTTGTAGTAACAGCAGGTTTCAATGAATCTACAAAAAAGTTCAGCCTAGAATAGATGCAGGTAGGAAGCTTCTGTGAAGCACAGATATCCTCTAAGGCAGTGGTGGTGAACCTATGGCACGGGTGCCAGAGGCGGCACTCAGATCCCTCTCCGTGGGCACACATGTCATTGCCCCAGCCTTGCCTCCCCGTGACCCCCTCACCAGCACCCCCCTGGAGAAGAGTTGCCCCCAAGTGTGGTCCATGTGGAGCAGTGCAGCCAAGGACACAGCAGCCAGGCAGTGTAGACAAGACTCTGCCCTCAGGCCCCATCGCGCACAGTTGATGCTGCAGGGTGCAGGCAGAGGGCTGCCTTGGTGCTGCTGGGTGATCTGCGGTGGGCCCTGGAGACGGTGAGTGGCCCTGCAGGCAGGCGGGGGCGGAGCAGGGGTGGAGCTAGTTCTGGGGCATTCAGTCTCTAAAAGGTTCGCCATCACTGCTCTAAGGCAACCTCAGTTGTTCTGGATTTAAAATACAGTGCATTTAGAAATTGTGCCAAAATAGGATTTGTAGCAAGTGGGATGCAAATTATTATGTTACAAAAGGATCTCCATTTCCCCTGAAGTGAGGTTGGTGCTAACCCTTTTTGCCCTTTGGAAAGGCCTCAAAACATTTTTTTTTAATCAGCCTGGAAATCTCCTGAACCAAGAAGAACATACCATTTCTAACCTTGTGATCTTATTTATGTTTACTTATATAAGTATTTTAAGTGATTTTATTATACATTCTAATTCTTGATTTTTATTGTACTCTGCCTAGTCATCTAGTCTGAGATGGGTGAATATATGATTTTCTTCGGATATCTTTGCCATTAGTAGCAAAAGAACACTAAGGGAACACATTGTTTTCAGGCTTGCATGGAAACCTGAGAAATGCTGGATAATTTAATTCATCCTACAGATTTCTGTTCTTGTGTATGGTCTGAAAAGGTCCAAATCCTTTTCGAAGCATGCACGGACATACCATCCAAAATGGGCACAGCTTATGTATTATAGTTATCAGAGGTATCAGTTTGTAAATGTTTAAAAAACCCTTTATTATAGCTTTTTAAATTTTTAATTCAAAGTGCATGCAACTGGCCTTTAGACTGAAAAATAAACTAAATAGAAAAAAAATAGTGAGTGTCCCAAAGAAACAAATTCAGGAGATCATATGATCTTGTCTGATACATTAAAAAAATACAAATGTCTTAATGTACCATGCTGAGTAATTCTTACTGTAACATGAGCTTTCATGGCCCTGCACTCTTGCCTGAATAACAGTTTGCATTATAATAAGGATCTGCTAGCTTGCAAAATCCTACACTATCCTGTCTTTCCAAAGCAATGCATCCATTTGTGTAAATATGCTCTTGAGGCTATATAAAGAATATCACCTCCACGTGATTCCATTTCAAGGATTACAGTTCCTTGAACACTGTAATCCGGAAGTATTTAAAACCAAAGATCTTCGCTAATCACTTTACCAGACATAATGCTCCCCATTACCAAGGTTATCTAAACAGAAAGGGGACACATTGGGACTTCTTCTCACCTGACACAGTCTCCTGAGCGCCCTCTGATTTGTCAACTTGTACTTCCAGGCCAGGTACCAGCTGCGTTTCTTCCACGGCTTGGGCTGTGGGTTAGGCTTCCATTCATCCATCACAGCAGGGCAAAATGGACAGCAGTGGATAACATGAGGTAACTCTCACCATCTGCTCTTCTCTAGTTGAACTCTTCAAGTTAAACCTGGCAGGATAAAGAAAACAAATAAAATGGAAGCCTGGAAGGAAGTACTTGGTCATATTTAGGTTCAAATGCCTGAGAATGTCACTATGTTTTTGCTGATTTTTTTAAACCCCAAGTTTGCACAAATATTTAATTAACATAATTTATTCTGGACAGCACACTTGGAAGTTTGCAGGATGTAATGGTATGACAAGGACAGATTGGACAATGAATTCTTTGTCAGACAAAACTAAAAGGAGAATGAAGACTGTTGAATAAGGAGCCAAGCAAAGGACCTTGAGTTTTAGGCCACATCTCAATAAAATCCTATTACAGTGATGGCGAACCTTTTCGAGACCGAGTGCCCAAACTGCAACCCAAACCCCTCTTATGCATCGTCAGGTGCCGGGTGGGTATGGCCCATTGGCTGGGTGTGGCCAATTGGGTGGGTGTGGCCCATTGAGTGGGCATGGCTGCGATGGTAACGGCAGACTGGGTGGGACTAAAAAGTTCAATCAATCAATTCCAACTTTGCAAGATCTTTTTTTTCCTGCAAGAAGTTGAAATTGACTGATTGATTGGACCTTTTCTTTTTTGCACATGGCAGCAGAGGCCTAAAGCAAAAAGGTTTTATAAAACCCAGCTAAAGGCCTAGGACTGGGGCGACGGCGCGCATGCCTACAGAGAGGGCTCTGAGTGCTGCCTCTGGCACCCGTGCCATAGGTTTGCCACCACTGTCCTATTATATTCATATATGTACATATATGTGCAATCCGCACCCCAGAAAATGTACTTTCAGATAAACAGAACTTTCTGTAGAAGTTGGAGACAGCAGAAAATGGAAGGGGGAAACAAGATCTTAGGAGGCATTCAGAAAATTTTGTCCCATTTCCATTCTCAAAAAAGATAAAATAAAATTAAGGAACCAAACATGCTACATATTGCATGTGGGCTGTTCTAAGTTAAAGAGACCAGATCTAGCTGGTTCTGAATTTCCCACACAGAACCATCCTGCCAACATTGCTAAGAAAAGAGTTCTATAAATTGCCTTCTGATCTAGATCTCTATAGACAAAACTGGATCATACATCAAAGTCATATTACAGATTTTTCATCATTTAGAGTCAGCAAAACTTCGTTACTCAAAGGATATTTTCTAGACTAGAGGATATTTTTTTTTCTATTAGCATCCTCAATCTACCACCATTTACCATATTCTTTACTTCAAATCCCACAAAGCTTTTAGTCACTCAAACGTCCTATTCATCGACATGCTAGCCAGGCATTCTAAGAATTATAGGGGCAACATCTGTACAAAACATTTGTTTTATACTACCCATAACTTTTCAACCCTTCTCACAAATTACCCAACTCAAAGCAAGCTTATATCAGAGTTAGATTCATCAAAGAAACGTGCTACGCACGCCGCCTGGGGCTCTTGAACAAAAGGCGGATTAAACGTTCAACAAATAAACGCGCAAAATTCCCAACGCAGAAGGTGGCGGGGGGGGGGGTAGAGAAAGACAGCATTGGCTACCAAACAAAGGAGCCGGGCATCCTACAATTGTCTCAAAACAAACCCCTCTATCAGCCGCCCGTAAATAAGGCGGAGAGTAAACGAGACGGATTTGGAAGCGCGTAAAGGGGAGCGAATTAAGGCGGATGAACCGGTTTCCCCAGAAAACAAACTGAAGTGGGTGGATGGTGATGATGATGATGCAAAATGAATCACACAGTCTGGTAGGAAAGACCCCCCTCCGCCCCCGCTTCCCAAGCGAATCCCCCCCATTTTCACACCCTCTGTCGCTCTTAAGAGGCGCGGATCCACTTACTGACACTGAGCCCCGCCAGGCCAGCAACGGAGCTTTCTCCGTAGCCGGGCGCCGCACGCAGAACTCTGCACGAGCGCGGGTGGAAATAGCTGCCGATCCCCTTCTCCGAGAAGCTGAAATTAACGCGCCGCTCTGCTTCCGGCGCGGGATATAAGGTTAGAAAGCCCGGTCTTAAAGGAGACGGCTCAAGTAAGGCAACTAGCCAGGTCGGGGAGAAGGAACGGAAGGCGGAGCGGCTGGAAGAGGAGGCGAGGCCTCTGCTTTTCAATTCGAGGCGGCGGCGGCGGCAGCAACAACAAGCAGCTGCAAGGAAAGAGCCAGCATGGCGCAAAATGTGATTGGTTATCTCAGGTGCCTATTAAAGTTGGGGCACTTCTTTCGAAAGAGGGCGCGGGGGCGGGAATACTTCACCCAGCTCTCTCGCTCTCTCTCTGTTCGTGAGATGGGAGCTCGTTCCCGGCTGCTTCGCCTCCCGCGGCCGTGTGGAGAGCAGACGCGCATTGGGCTCTGAAGGAGACGACGGGGTGAGAAGAACCGCTTTCCCTCGACTTGGCCTGCATCGAAGCCGAGGTTTTCCCAATACAGATACCGTCGGAGGTAACTGATGGCCCTCCAGGCACACGCGCGGTATCGCTCGCTTACGCAACAGCTTTCGAGATGGCCGTCTGGAATCCCCTGGGTTTGAAGACCCCGGCAGGCGGATTTCGGGGACTTCCTTCGTGTGACGCTTTTATGTGGCTGGATCGGGGTCTGTGACTGAATGCCACGAGTGAGGTTTATAGATCCATCTTTTATGCCCTGGTGTTGTAAAGGTACCAAGTCAGTGTTGCTTGTTCAACAAACACGATTCTGCCAAGACATTTAGTATTGTAAACGAAGCCATGTTTTACTTCCTCGATTTTTAATTATTAAACTATAGGTGCCCTTCTTTGCCTCCAGCTCAGATTAATATGACCTGATTTAAATCCTCCCTCGGATGGTGTGAGCCCCTGAAGAGATGAGAGAACTGAGCTAATTATCAAAGGAGGAGAATATTTGTAGCTCAGGGTTCAATTATGGGGTCCTTGGTGCTCTCTAAGCTTGATTGTTTTCTTGCAGATGTTTCATTACCAAACTAGGTAATATCAGTGCACCTAGTTTGGTAATGGAACATCTGCAAGAAAACATCCAAGCTCCGGAGAGCACGAAGGACCCTACACTAAATTAAATTGATATAAGCAGGCGCATAAAGGAGTATGTCTTATAATTAGGTCATCACTAATCCCAGGGCATAACTTCTGTATACTGACAGCGGATTTCATCACCAGTTTATTGCTTACTCTTTTAAGCCATGACCCAAATCTTCAACCAGCCTAACAATCAGCTCCAGGTTGGGAAAGGGTTTGATGAATAAATAAATGCTGGCTGCTACATGTCACATAATGTTAAATAATTGACTGCTGCTATATATTAGCAATCAGATGGTGTCAAATTCTGACAGCTATATATATATGTCAGATAAGATCAGGATGCTATAGTCTCTCAGCCATCAGGGACTTTCAAAAGTTGGCTGATAGTGCTACATCTTTGCAAGTCAATACTAGGACTGAATACAGAATTTTAGCTGAAGTGCTCATAAATATTGTTGCATTTGGCAATTATTTGGACAATATGATTGTTGATGTTGATTTAGTTTGCTATTTAATTCTGTACAATGGGGGAGATAGAGAAATTCTGAATAGTTAACACGAAGCCTTCTGGCAATGTCTTATTATTTGTTAAGACTTCTCAGATATATTGCATGGGCATATAGTACTCCCCTTTAGCTAACTCATAACTACTGGTAGATGTGCCTTTAATGAATCTGTAATTCTTTAAACAAATGCTTTCTCTTGAACTTGGGCTAGTAGACCCTAGGCTGAAGCTATTAGGTACAGCTTAGCTAGGGTGCAAAAATCTAGATGACCAGGAGATGACAGCAAAGACATGCAGAACATTTTGTATCCTGCCATTAAGCTACTATCCAGCTTAATAACTCTGCCTGAACTCAGGATATGTTAAGTTGGGTAGATCATTGTAGTTGCTTAACTTAATAGAAACCCAAACACTTTTAGCCCAGAGGGAGACTGGAAGCTTTATCTGCTTGCAAATGGAGCATTTGGAAATGGGGCACATTTTGCCCAGCTGGAGAAATGACGGGGACTGGAAGCTTCGTCTGCTTGCAAATCGGATGCTTGGAAATGGGGCTAATCGCTCCATTCCCAAGCGCCCCATTTGCAAGCAGATGAAGCTTCCAGTCTCCCTCTGGGTGAAAAGTGTGCATCGCATCTGGATCACTTACCTTCCCCCACCTCTGCCTCTGTGCTCAGACTTATTTGCGTTGTGCCAAGGGGACGGAGGGCTACAGCTGTTGCCAGACACCATTGGCCCCCGCACGCTCGCCACTGCTTGTGCTGGCCATGCCCACTCCCCAGGCTTATTTTGAGGGTAGGGCTTATATTAGTCCTACCCCAAAAAATTAGGCTAGGGCTTAATTTCGGGTGGGTCTTATTTTCGGGGAAACGCTGTAATGTGCTTTTGAAAAGTGGTAGCACACATGTTGATTCATTTAAAAGGCTGTAACATTTGTATAGGGCCTGTGCACCTAAAAGCACAGATGGGCAAAAGTGATAGGTTGAATCATTTTGTAATAAAAGTAGATGGCTATCTCATGGAGAAGCAGTTTTGCGCCACTAAGTGGCAGCATAATGGCATGGGTAAACAGAAGCAGGGTGACTTAGTTCATGGGAAAATATTTTACTAAACATAATCTCACCCACACAATTCTGTGCTTCCTTAGGATTTCTTATAGATGTGTAGATTGAAAAGTTTTAACCCCTTAAGTTTGTGTATGGATATACTCTTTTTTTACTCTCAGTCAACAGAAGTAGTATTTCAAATGGAATAAGTTGTGCGTGATGTTAAAAAATGAGGGAAGGCTGTGCACTGTTTGCATGCACACCCAGGATTATTTACATAATTTAAAGGCCATATTTAGAAACAACCAGGGCATTTTACAGATAAGGCTGACTGCTAATCAGAGATAGTGATAGGTGAAATTTTCCCACACAGCCTGTTTTGATATCACTTTATTATCGGGCACAGAATTTTTCATAGGTTCTCAAATTCTCTATTTATTTTGTTGCTGTTTTTAAAACTGTTGGATAATTTATACTACTCTTAATATTGATATTTTCTCTTTAATCTGCTTTATTGTAATTGTCATACATTGCGAGCCATTTAAAGGATAGGAATAATATTCAAATAAATCAGTAAAGGAAATCCATTTATTTAATTATTTAAATAATTAATCTTAGTTAATTAATTTTGACTTCACAGTGTTGACTTCAATGTTCAAATGAATCGTTCCATTCAAACATGTTGTGAACAGCTGCTAGATAATTTTACTGCTAGCTCTTTTATTGCTCTTAGTTGATTTTTTTGTAAGATTGTTAAAAATGCAGGTTTCTAACTAATAGACTACTCAAGATGAATTTTGATCTAATTAATAATTTATTGCATTAAGTTCAGCTGGTTCTTTTCAATCTGACATATTGTTGCAATGGAGTTGTATACAATAAATGTCTACAGTATTTAGAGACGAGTCCCATTTGGTTTGGGGCAACATGACTCTAGGTTAGTGAATGCAGAACTATAACCATAGACCAAATGCTAAACATCTGATTCCATTTTCACATTGTTTCACAAAAGAGACATTTTACTGTTTGTAGGCTATGACTACAATATACTTCATCTCTTAAGAATGGCAAGACTATTATGTAGAGTAGGTGTTTGGAACTTCTGCACTATTCTTACAGGCAAAGTCATCTGAGGATTACAAGAAGAAACTCATACCAATTTGGTCAGTCTAGCTCAGGCATGTCAAACTGCCAGCCCATGGGCCGGATCCGTCATGCCGAAATTGTGCCCACCCCATTGCTGGCATCATGCGAGTTTGACATGCCTGGTCTAGCTCAATGTCTCTATTAGTAGTTCTTCATGTTTTCAGATAAGCTTTCTTAGATAATAAACTGCCTTCTTGTGAATTGGCCAAAATGTAAAAAAAAAAAAAGTTCCTTTTTCCTAGATACTAAGCAGCATTGGAAGAATAATGGAAGTCTGCATTTTTCTATCTCTGATTTAGTCCATTATAGTCTACACAAATTACATGTTTTCACACAGGAATATTTTCAGTCTTACTAGGAGATGCTGAGGAAAATCCTGCCTTCTTTGTCTACAAATAAAGTCTACCTTACTGAGCTATGCTGAGTAGTGGTACCAGGATTTTTTTTTCTAAGTTAGCCTTATTGTATCTAGGCTGCAAAACCTCATCTAGTGCTGGTCAGGATTTTTGCAGCATCTTACATTTGATAAAATAAGATTATTCTAAGGGCAAAGCATGGGCACTTTTTCAGTTGCATCTGTGTCTCAAATAGTTTGGGTTGCAGAGGATAATAGTCATTACTCATTATCTTCCTTGGGGAGTCCTCCCGATTTCCTCCTTTAAATTACTTTCGGGACTGGAGACAGCAGTGTCATCTTTCATCTGATACACTTTCCATCTAAGGTGAGTAAATGCCAAGGATGGTCAAAATGCAGTTGTCCATTCTTTCTTCCAGGCACGGAGGAAAGTCAACAGGGCAATCTGGATCTCCTCTGTCATTGATCACTGGATGCTGTTTTCTGTTCTGCTTTGTTGTTGCTGCTGTTGTTCTGAAGGGATGGATTGGAACCTCACTGGGGTAGATTGACAATTAAATGGCTGACTGAATGCATTTCCTTGTAGTTTCTGGCTGAATTCATTGCCTGTGCAAGAGGTAGCTCTGTTGTTCAGGCACTACTATGCTAATTCTTAGCCATTCGGTTTTGCATGACTGTCAGCTACAAAGTGGGAGAAACAAAGAAAAGACCACACCATTTGAAAAGTATGAGCCAGATTGGCAGGTCTGGTAAATGAATAATCTCATTGTCAACTCTCAAACGAATTTGGCTGGAGCTTTTTTCCCTTCGTTTTTTGGTTGCCACAGAATTGGGAGGAGGGGAATGGGTATTTTTTAGTTTAGTCAAAACAATAAATTGCTCTGTGGGAACCGAAGTCATTGCTGATTGCATTTGGGCGGGCTAAAGCTTCCATTAGAAAACCCTCACAAGTAGTTAATTGGGGAATGTGATTTATGACATATTATAGAGGTGGGAAGTTCAATTTTGTAACATTGTAACCTTTGAGGGGGGACTTCAGTCTTGGTTTTACTTTTGATCGTGGCCGATACTATCTAGCCAAATAAATATGTTCTTTAAGGAAACTTTTTTTGCCTTGGAGTTCTCTTTTACTGGGCTCATCTATCGGAACCCTGACACTCATTCTGCATTTTATTTTTATGGATTGGATATGTTATGTTGAAAGTTACATCAGCCTTTTTCAATTTGGTACTTTCCAGATTCACTGCAAATTCCCGAATTCTCAGTCATTGTGGCCAGTGAAAACTATGTGAGATGTTTCCAGGGAATGCTACATTTACCCATTTAGGATGTGAACCAGGAGCCAAAGGAAGAAATCACTTGTTAATACTTTAGTAGTATTATGTAAAGAAAAAATAAGATGGGGGTTTATTAAATATGGGGAGGAGAAATGTTAATAATGATATTAAGTATTGACTGATTAACATCAATTAATCAGTAATATCAGTCAATTGATCTTTATAATGATCATTATTTCAACATAAAAATTGCAAATAGTACATGTTCTATTGTGAGAAAACTGTGTTTTTGCAAAATAGCAAACAATTGTGTATAAAACCATGCTTTTGCCTACTTTGTTATACGGACATATCAGGAGAAACTTACATGTTAAATAGGGAAGGTACTTAAGTAGTATGTACATGTCATAAAAAAGAGATGGATTTAATATTGAATAGATGGTGAATTAATGTGAACTGAATACAAAAATGAATGATTAATATGGAAGTGTGTTGCAAAGGTTTGGCTAACTAGAGAGAATATATGAAGACTGAATTCCAAAATAAAGATATAGGAAGGATGAATAGGTACAAAGCTTAAGGGTGACCTTGAGCCAGTCATGTCAGACCTAGGAAACAGGCAATGGCAAACTGCTTCTGAAAAACCTTGCCAAAAACTGCACACACACACACACACACACACACACAGTCTCTCCAAAATACGCTACATAATACTACGAAAGAGAATAATTTTGTACAGCACCAGAAACTTGCAACCCAAGAGGAATTTTGGTATCATAAGAGCCAGTGTGGTATGGGTAAGTTGTTGAACTTCTAATCTGCCCTTGGACATGGAAGTTCATTGGGGATTCTGGGCTAGCCATTCTCTGTCAACTCAATGTACCACTCAGATTTGCTATTGTGGGGAAGAATAGGAGGAGGAAACACCAGCATATTGCCTTGAGCTCCTGTACAAATAAAATAAAAGTTAATATTATCTTCCCTTTCCACCATTGCTTCTTGACCCTCACTCTACCCTTATTGCCCTGAGATGAAAATAGATATAGCCACTGGCAGAAATCTTTCTTCCCTTAGATCTTCAGAATAGTATCTCTGTCATGACTGGATCTTAATACTAATAATCCTGTGCCTCTTTGATCCCATTAACCACCTTCTTTAGTTCCTGAAACAGATTATTATGCTTTTGTAAGTGGTGGAGCTGTTGGTTTTCCTTATTTGTCACACTTTCGGTTTACAGCAGCTCTAGCAAGTTTGGTCTGTCTGGTGTGTAGCAAAGGTATTTGATTGCTATCTTGTCAGTTTAAGCCAGTCTGTCAGGTGGACAACCAGTTTTTATGTTTCTAGAATTACATATTTGAACAGTAATATTACGTTACAAAGCTGTATATATCTTCCCTAGTATAAACTCCAATGGGACTTACTTAATATTGATTTATTTAATTTATTTATATGGCTTCCTATCTTGTAAAAGTGACTTTAGGCAGCTAATAATACATTAAAATCAATTTTAAAATATTAACAAAGGTAAGCACCTACAGTGGTCACTGAGGGTAAAAGCCAAACAAAACTACAAAACCCTCTCAGTGGGTCATGTAACATTCCAATCCCTAGGCCCTGGAGCACCCCCTTGCTTTACAAAAAGCTGGCAGAATTAGGGCCAATCTAATTTCATGGGGTGTGGTGTTTCAGATATGTTCCAACTTTATAAACTTTATCTATTCCTTAAATTATTCAGTAAGTATGTATGGCTGCCCACCTACCATTGGAACTCTGGTTGATGAACAAACAAATAAAAAATCAAAATCAACAAAAGGCACATTACCCAAACTGTGGAAATTCAATGAAACTTAAGGCAAGATACATGCATCCTCTAAGCTAAGGAATCCTGAGTGACCTGTTGCAAAATGTTTCCATGATACATTTTGCTGAAAGTTGTTCATTTCCAAATGTGAAATGGATCTTCCAGCTCTGTATGTAATGAAGTCATCCTTTACTTCAGACATGTCAAACTCGCAACATCACATGATATTGCGCAATGTATCGGGACAGTTTTGCCATTGCCGGCAGTTTGACACCCCTGCTTTACTTGATTCTAAATTGACTTGTTCACCAATTTTCTCAGTAGTATGTGGTTAACTTGTCTATGTTAATCATTGAACCATATTTTTTGCATCCCCATAAGTTATCCACACTGTCTAGAACAGTGGTTCTCAACCTTTCTAATGCCACGACCCCATAATACAGTTCCCCATGTTGTGGTGACCCCCAACCACTTATACATCACCGGGTGCCAGGGGCATGGCCAAAGAAAAGGGGGAAAAATGGCGGACAGCCTTGTTTGGCGACCCCCGTGAAATGGTCGTTCGACCCCAAATGGGGTCCCGACCCACAGGTTGAGAACCACTGGTCTAGAAGTACACAGAAAAGTAATCTGATGAGTGGCAGGCCAATTTACTTCAATATGCTGTGGGAAAACAGGTACTGAGAGTTCAGCAAAAATGTATTTATTTCTAAGTAGAAATATGTATTATCATATGCACTCTTATAAACTGAAGTTCTACTTGCTATGCATCTGTTTCAAAATACTAGCCATTATGAATAACTCTTGAGTTCAATTCCTTTCTCCCGGTGCAAATAAATGTATTTTCTTGCTTTATCCCTGCAATTGAAGGTGTATTTATTGTTACTTCATTCACATTTGTGTCTTTTCCACATGTTGGGACTGTAACTGCCAGCCTTCCAAGCTGACCTGTATTCTGGTATGTCAGGAAAATACCAAATTGGGAGAGGTGAATTAGGAAGCATGCAGAGGTATAGATCAGTGGGCTAAGGATCAGAACTGTGGAGAGCTCCTGCTGAAGCAAGATTTGGGGTTAGGTGGGATGCTAGGAAGAAGAATTATTGTTGCCTCACTCATCTGAAATTGAAATTTTTCAGAGATGATGGATGAATCCCATATTCCTGGACTGGAGCTATTTAGTATGTAAAATTGTACTATATAGTAATTCATTTCTCAACCTCAGCAACTTTAAGAGAATTCCCCAGGCAGTTTCAGTTCACATCACTTAAAGTTGCTGAGGTTGATAAACAATGTAGTAATGAATTCTGACATGGATGAAATGGCTTCTGCAGCATTAAGGGAATGCAGGGCAAGAGACAGGGAAGATGGTTTCTCTGACAGAGGTAGTTCAGAGGAAGAATATTTTGAGCCTGAGGACTCAGAACAGGAAGACACCTTTGCCTGGATTAATAAATTGTGCTTAGCCCTGAACTACTTAACCATGGCGTACTGAGTAATCCTCATTTACTGGATTCATACAATACCTTGGACCATAAATCATAAAATGTCTGTAATATAATCATCTCATATTTACAAAAAGAATAATTGTAGTCTAGCGATATTCATAGAAACATTGACAAAGAAGTCTTTTGAGCTGTGAGCCAACTTCACCTCCTGTGATGTAATTTTATTTTTAGCTAGCCTTCTGAATCGTAAAGATGTGAAGGATATGCTCAGAATCAATAAGCACAAGTTTTCTTAGTATATAATTCCAACAGTGAAAGAAGGAGCTTTATCTATCGAACTAAAGTCTGCTGCAGTTCAAACATAAGAACTCCTCCAAATAGTGGATAAAGTGATAAAATAATAAGGGCCATGAATCCTCAGTTAGTTTGATATCTTCACTTAGCGATCATAATTGGGATTGGAAACTCTGTTGCTAAGCAAAGTCGCTAAGCAAACCATCACATAATTATGATTAGTTTATAATCTCACTTCCGCTGCAATTGTTAAGCAAGTGACTGAAGGTCATTGAAGTCAACTTGTGATTTTACTGCAGTCTTCTTCATTGACTCTGCTTGACAAAAACTAGTTGTGAAATGTGTGAATCACATGGCCACAGGATGCTACAACATCATAAATGTTCATCAGTTGAGAAGTGCCCAAATAGTGATCACATGAGTCCAGGGATTCTGTGATTGTCAAAATACATGAGGACTATTTTTTAGCACTTCAAGCAGTCACTAAACAGGGCAGTCATTAAGCAACATTCACCTATATACAAAATTCTTGTATGGGCAGGACGAAACTAACTGCCGCTAAGGAAAGTTTTACTCTAGCCACTTAAGGCATTAAGTAAATTTGATTTAAAAAAAACAAAACAAAAACAAAATACACATGTTCATACCAAGATCACTTAAAAATTTATGGATTAACACAGAGATTTTCCATTGCTGTAACTAAATGCCTTATTCATTCTAGAGTCATCAGAAAACTTCCTTATGCCTGGTCAAATTATTTGTATGTTAAATTTATATCTCATTCTTTGTTCATGGATTCAGATTGACACATACACAACTGACACATATGCATATATACTATATTGGTAGGGTGACAGGGTATGTGTGGAATAGAAGTGCAATCTCAGCCATAGTCCTTTTGGGGGTAAGCACTATTATACATCTACTACACCTTATTCATTTATTTTGTAAATAAAAGCAAATGTTTACAATATTTTATCCATATATTATTTTAAAAACATTTTATAAACCAAATGTTTCACATATTTATTGCACATAGGCCTGAACCATTTGTCATGCTTCTTTCTTGGCTGCTGACAACCTGGTGTACATTCCTTTTCATATACTGTCTGTTTAATATCGTGAACTCAAATACTTTGGCCACCTAATGAGAAGGAAGGGCTCACTGGAGAAGGGCCTAATGCTGGGAAAGATTGAGGGCAATAGAAGAGGACGACAGAGCATGAGATGGCTGGATGGAGTCACTGAAGCAGTAGGTGTGAACTTAAATGGATTCCAGAAGATGGTAGAGGACAGGAAGACCTGGAGGAACGTTGTCCATGGGGTCGCGATGGGTCGGACACGACCTCGCAATTAACAACAACAAATATCGTGAAAATCATTAGCTTTTATTAACAATGATGCTCCTTTTATATAAAAACGCTTTGAACTACAAAAAGTGGCAGAAAATATAGGCAGAAATAAAATATATAGTAATAAAAGGCAAATATGAGTCAAGAAGGAAAGGCACGGGGCAAGGAAAAGGCCTGTAGATTAAACCAAGGGTTTCCAACCTTGGCAACTTTAAGACTTATGGACTTCTGGACTTGAGAAATTCTGGGAGTTGAAGTCCACAAGTTTTAAAAGGTTGGAGATCCCTTAAACTAACGAATCAGAGCCATCCTTCACAACCTGGCAAGGCCAGATTCCATTTGCCAGTGTTTGTTTATTCTGCCTGCTCTCCAGTCAGGAAATAAGGTAACGGCGGAATATGCTTCTCCGAGGAGTATTACGGTAGCTGAGCTCGCGATTCGGCGGCTAGCTCCTCAGCATTAGGTTTCCCATCCCGGGGCAGGTAAGGGGAGGCTGGAAGAGGAGCCTGCGCCGGGGGGGGGGGCGGGGGCGGGGGCGGGGGCAGCCCTGCTAGGGAAGCAGAGGCAGGCGGACTTTGCCGTTTGCTGCTGCAATCCCAGGACGGGGCAGCCACGCCTGGCGCTGCTCCCTGCAGCCCCCTGGAACTTTTGCTAGGCGTTGGCGCTGCCTCCTCGGCTGACGCGGCCAACTCATCCCGGGTTGAATGCCGGCCGCTTCTAAGCATCCCTGGAAGGAAGGGGAATCCAAGGACGGCGGCGGGGAGGAAGGAAAGGTCCGTGTGAATGCCAAGTGAAGCGCCGCCGGAGGGAGGAGGGGGGAAGACAAGCCCCGCTCGTGATGAGGGGCCAGAAATGAGACTTCGGAGCCGAGAGATTGGCCGAGGCCCTCGGAGAGGCTCCGATTTTATAAGGGTGCTGCCTACGGAACTCCCGCCCACACGCCCAGAGCTTCTGGGAGGGACTCCCTGCCAGGCCGAGCCTTCAGCTCAAAAGCCCAGCTGGAGGGTTGGGGAAGGGAGCGCCCGCTTCCAGCTGCCGAGACTAGATCCAGCCTCTCGCTTCCCGGGATGGAGGTTCCGGGCAGCGGCGCTGAGCTCTCCCTGCCTCCGGACCTGAAGGATTTGGAGATGAAACTCGGACAGAAACCTCCGGACGGGCTGATTAGGTGGCTGCGGGGGGACCCCGCTGCTCACCTGCTTCGGAGCAGTCCGAATCGGGGGCCGCGCCACGGTCTGGGGGAGAAGATCAAGGCTCTGAAGGTGGAACTGGTGAGTCACGGAACCCCCTCTCCCTTTCCGCGCGGAAAGATAGGATGCCCCCTTTTGCACACCCATCCATCCATACACACACACACACACACACACACACTCTCTCACACACACACCCCTCTTTTTTTTTTTTTTTTTTGCTTCTGGAAAGAGAAAAGGCAAAGGTCTTGTTCCGCCAAAGTCCTTCTTCATTCATTCCCCTTTCCTTTCCATTCCTAACTGCGGCGTGGCCTTCCTGTGTTCGTAGTAACAATTGATTTGGCATAAAGAACCTCTCACTATGAATGGGTGGACTTGCCTTCTGTTACGTTACACAACTACCTACACAACTACTGTAGGTATATTGAGTTTTCTTTCCCCCAAATGCCTTTTTTTTTTCTTTAGATGAAGCAAACTCAGCCCTACTGGCTAGGTGGCAGATTTTTGGTGTTGAGTGAACTTGGAATTTTCCTCTGGACATCTTCTCCTGATGGTCCCTGCTGAACCTGATCATTAATGCCCATCCTGGAGCTTGGACCTTAGCCCTGATCTCCTGTCTTTTACTGGTTGGTTCTGAAAACTGCTCAGTCCAGTTTGCCTATCTTTCTATAGGCTATCAGTTTATTGGATGTCCCCCTATTTCCCAATTCCAAGTCCCAAGCACTGCATCCCCATCTGAGGGTGAGCAACTCTGCACCCATTTGTCCCATCTGTTCCAGCTCAGCTTCGTTTCCAGGATGCAAAATCAGATTTATCATCAGATTTTGGATATGACAGGCATTCCCTCTCTTGGCTGGAAAGGAAAAATACTTCTGTGCTAGATGCTTGCTATATTATTGATTACTTATATTAGTATAGCTTTAAAAGTTCACTCTGTTCTCTAGCTCTCGGTCTATATTTAATGCTCAATCCATTATACTTCTGATCGTGAGACTACCATTTCCCAGCCCAGTCCATTTCAAGTTCCAGATTGAAATTGAAATATGTGATTTTTCATTTTTCCAAGTCTGGTTTTAAAGTTAAGAAGATGTGTCTCTGAAAGTCTGTACAATTCTAGCGATGCGGTTGGTTTTTCAATGGGATTCTGCAAAGAATTCCACTGAAGTAATAAGAGACCAAATCTATTTAATTTAATGGACACCCATGTGTGCGTCCACACATATACATATGCACATGCAAAACACACACACACGTAGTATTACATACTTGGCATTCTTGTTTAGCTCAATTGAGACAAAAGCATGAAAATGGATAGACTGGATCTAAGAAACATCAGCTTGTTTGAAGTTATCATAAAATGATTTTAGGGTATCCAGCTTTAGTTTATTTGGCACCTGGAACTAAACTAAACAGGCACTAGGTAAGATCTAATCAAGTCCAACTCTATGTCTGCATTCATATCTTGTCCTTTATGTTTTTTAGAAAAACGTACTTATTGAGGCGTATATATCATTCCAATTGTAAAACAACTCTGAATATGGAAATAGTTTACTATTCTGTTTGAGATTTTTTAAACTTCTATTGCCCTGATTGCCTCTCATCCAAGTACTGATCAAGTCCAAACCTGCTTAACTGTTTTGAGGATCAGCTAAGCAGGGTAGCAGCTCAAGTTATTATTACGATTGTTTTTAATCATGCGGATTGCATCATGGCAGATTTATTATAATTGAACCTTAGGGCAAGAGAGATTCAAATAGGAGAATGTATACATTTCTTAGAGCCAGTTTGGTATGCAGTGTTTCTCAGCCTTGACAATTTTAAGGCATGAGGACTGCAACTCCCAGAATTCCACAGCCAGCATTGCTGGCTGTGGAATTCTGGGAGTTGAAGTCCACATGCCTTAAAATTGTCAAGGTTGAGAAACACTGAGTTAAGGCATCAAGTTAGAAATTGGGAGCTCATGAGTTCTAGTCCCTCCTTAGGCACAAAGCCAACTGAGTGACCTTGTGCCTGTCATTTTCTTTCAACCCTAGGAAAGAGACAATGGCAAACCACTTCGGGAAATTCTTGCCAAGAAAACGTCAGGAATTTGTCCAGTCTCCAAGAACTGGACATGTTTAAACAGAAAGGGAAAAATACATTTACCTACCGTATTTGTTATTACCAGCCAATCCAATGATCCTTAGAGGCTTATACGTTCATTTATTACCTAAACATATCCATAATATAACATTATTGACAAACATTAACTTTGAAAAATGCATCTATAATAAAATAATCTTTAAAAATAATAACCACAAAACAGATATAAACATTTCTCTTTTTTATTTTCATTTCATTGTTTCTATTTTTAACATGTAAGCCATCCAGAGGTGTCTGGGAATTGAGTAAGCTTTAAATCCAATGAAACAAATAATTCAAGTTAATGAAACCAACAAAACCCCAAAAATAGATGGCAACAGTCACAACCCTAATTTTCTCCCACAAGTCAGTTTTTAGCAATTTACAAAAATTGCTAATAAAGTAAAAAATACTTCTTCACTGCTCTTTTCTTTGAGGTGAAAATTAGGACAGAATAACAGAGTAGAATTTATTTCCAAAAAGGCATGCATGAAATACCAGGGCAGACTAGACCGAAAAGTTGGAAAAGGTTAGAGCAGGGATGTCTAACCTTGGCAACTTTAAGATCTGTGGACTTTAAATCCCAGAATCCCCATCCAGCATTAGAGCAAGCTACTGCGCTGTTATCCCTAACTCCCTATGTATCTATCCAAGAAGTCAGCAAGAGTTGAAGTTGACTCAAATAATTATTTTTTAAAACATGCATAGGATTGCTGTATTCAGTCCTCCAATGTAACTACAGTTGCTATGGAGGGTTACTTGTGGAGGAAGTGAAAATGACTCAAGAATCTTGAAGCTTGGGTTTAAGCTTTGGTTATGAACACTCTGCAGTGTGTCATCCAGGTGTGATTTACATTGCAGCCCATTTACAGGAGACTAAATCCCTCTGAACTTGGATTTATTTCTGAGTCAATATATACAGGATTGTGTTGTTAATCTATTGGGATATCCATAAAAATGGAAAATATTGTCATGTAAAATTTCAGGTTGAATGGTCTTCAGGTTACTTCTGATCTTTTTTTTTAAAATTTGGGAACCAAATATGACAATCAGCATTGTAATAAGCAGCGGTGCCTCAACACTAATCTAATCCCCATTTTTTAAATGATCTTTCCTATGAAACTTGGCATTTAAATATTACTTTTCCATGTCAACATAAAATAAGAGAATGAGAGAAAACTGTTTTGTCCTGAGATTGTTTCTCCGGGCAGAAAACAGAATGCAATGAAACAAGACTTCATTCTCCACACATAGGCTGGCTGTTTGCCTGAGGGACACATCTGCTCCCCAGCATGAAAATACTCATAAGGTTTCTTAGGAAGAGCGTGTTGTTTTGATTTTTCAAACTGAGGGTATTTTCATCCGTCATATACTTTGTTTCCATCACGAACTTCTTCATTTATGAGGATGCTGAGAAATGTGGAAGGAAAACAGTTGGGATGTATTAAGTTACATGCTGCACTGCCAAAAATGGCTGATTTAGGAGATTGATTTTCACATGGTGAATCAGACTGTTTTGCACTGTTTGCATGTACATGCAAAACAGAGCCATATGTCACAGAATTGCCAGCAGAGCAAGTCTAACTTGATTGCCTCTAATTCCTTGATCTGGTGCAAAGTTCTCAATTTACAACAATTCATTTAGTGACCGTTCAGAGTTACAAGGTCACTGAAAAATGTGACTTATGATCATTTTTCACACTTACGACCGTTGCGGCATCCCATGGCCACGTGATCAAAATTGAGATGCTTGGCAAATGACTCATATTTATGACAGTCGCCATGTTCAGGGGTCATGTGATCCCCTTTTGTGACCTTCTGACAAGCAAAGTCAATGAGGAAGCCAGTTTCACTTAACAACCGTGTTACTAATTTATCGACTGCAGTGAGTCACTTAAGAACTGCGGCAAGAAAAGTCGTAAAATGGGGCAACTCTCACTTAACAAATGTTTCACCTAGCAACAGAAATTTTGGGCTCAATTGTGGTCGTAAGTTGAGGACTACCTGTAGCTGTTTTCTGAGAATTACATCTTAAGTATAAATCCAGAAAAGGTAGTTTTCCTTCTAGAGGTTTTTGTCAAAACAATTGAGGCAGAAGTAGCCTGCTGGACTACTACATCCTGGAAGGTCTTTATTTCCTGGGAGGCCTGCTTTCCTACTGAGACTGGTACAGTTTTCTCCCTGACCCTCTGGGTTTCAAAAGGTCTCTTCTTAAGGAAGATACAAAGGAGAAGAGTCAGAAAAACTACTATTTCCTGCCCCAGCCAGTGTGAGTTGGCCAGGCATGCTTTTACCAAAGCTTGTGCCCCTGATGCGCTGAAGTGCAAGCTGTCTAAATGCCAGCCAGCACGGCCAACAGATAAAATGTCAAAATGTAACTTGAGGTGACATTCATCCTGTTGGATATCACATTACACCAACTGATACAGAGAAGTATGTGTAACGTCCTTCCAAGTTCTTCTTATCTTGTTTGGGACACTTGCTTGCTTCAGGCCTCAGCACATATTAGTAGTTCCTGCTAATCTGGTCTATACTTGGAAGTCCAGTTATTATTTGGGAAATATGAGGGCCGCGGGCTAGTCTGAGAAGCTGAAAAACACCCTGGAAGGAAACATTGGCACGTCATTTCCATATTGTTTCCAAGACAATTTCATGGATGAGCGTGACTCGAAGATGTTATCTTTTTACTTTTTCCACAGTAAAAACGTTCTAGAAAATATATTCACACACGAGAAAGCCTTTCTGATGGTGGCATCTCAGTTCCAAAATCCCTTTCTAAAAGCTTTTTGAAAGTTCATGAAACAGATCTTTATCTTTGGTGGGAATACATTTGATCTGGATTGAAAATGGTTGCGTCATTTCATTTAATGTTTAACTTTCTCCATGCTTTTAAATGGCATTCTCTTTTGGCTGTGTCCTGTAATTTTCTGCTGCTCTTCTGAATTGTTTATTATCAAAGTAAATTTAATTCACTGGTTTGGTGTTTTGTTCATTAGCTGCCTACTAGTTTACAAGTTTTAAATGCAAGGTTATGTGATGAGAGTAAATAAACACAAAGTAAAGTACTAGGATTATAATTCTAAAAGAACTATTTGTATTATTTCTAACTGAAGCAAGCCCAGGCTGGAAGAAAATGAAATCATAGGATCGTTTTCACGATCCTTGTTGTGGGGGTTGGGATTCTTTGTAGGATCTGTATTTTAAATTTTCTGAGTCAGATGTGTGCAAAACAAAATGTAAAGATTCATGGCCCATTTTATTAATTGCATTCTGTCAAGCTTTCTTTACCTTCCCCTTTTTCACCCGAGAGTGCTGTAATTCAGTATGGATATTGTTTTGATGCCATAAATCTCAGAAAATCACTATGCTATCGGAGTTCTTTAGCATCATTTTAGTTCAGAAGTAAGACTGCAATGTGCACAAATATCTCCAAGTAGATTTTTTGTATTCTGAGGAAATAATTAAATTATAATGAAACTAATTGAGAGTCTAAATCAGGAAGGTCCTGAGGGATTTTTAAAGTATCAGTGCACTCTATCTGTAGCTACAATATTAGCTCCAGCGTAGAGTGGTAGTTAAAATGTTAGACCAGTATTTCTCAACCTCAACAAGTTAAGGTGAGTGGAATTCTGGGAGTTGAAGTCCATGCATCTTAAAGTTGCTGAGGTTAAGAAACAATGTATTAGACAAAGATCAGAGATGTGGGCTAATTTTTATGGCTTTTCCCCCTACTTTTCTCCTGTTTTGGAGAAAATGTTTTAAATGTGATTGCAAAGTCCTGAAGGATTTGTAACTGAATTTTAGATTCATATGCCATCTTTTAAAACCCAGTTTTTCCAGATGGGTTGTGATACATAATCACAAGATTAAAAAAAAAAACCTTAGACTAGTAATTCAAATACACAAAATATTAATGTGTAATAAAAGCATCAGCCAGAAGATTTAAAAGTTCTATGCAGTAGATATATTTATAAATTACAAAGGCATAGGAGAATAAAAATATTTTGCCTGGGACAAAATACAATACAATACAATCAATGTAAGGCATTTTTCATTGGAAGGGACCTCCGGGACGCAGGAGTCTGTGTATCTATTTTAATGCTTATTTATTAATAGATTTATAGGTAGCCCTCAACCTACAACCATAGTTGAGGCCAAAATTTCTGTTGCTAAGCAAGTCAGTGATTAAGGAGTTTTATCCCATCTGACAACTTTTCTTGCCAGTTATTAAGCGATTCACTGAAGTTGTTAGATTAATAATACAGTTGTTAAATGAATCTTGCTTCCCCATTGACTTTGCCTGTTAGAAAATCACAAAAGAGATCACATGATCCTGGGATACTGCAACCATCATAAATACATACCAGTTGCCAAGTATCCGAATTTTGATCATGTAATGCTGCAATAGTCATAAGCATGAAAAATGCTCATAACTCATTTTTTTTCAGTACCGTTGTAACTCTGAACCATCACTAAATGACTGGTTGTAAGTCCAGGATTACCTGTATATCTTACATTTATTTTGTGCAGTTTATGTAAGGCTCTGCTTCCTGTTTTCCTCTCAATAACAAGGCAAGTTGTGGGTTGAGAGACAGTGATTAGTCCAAAGTCACCCAGCCAGCTTTTATGCCTAGATAGGACTATAAGGTTTTTCTAGGTCAGCACTATTGACTCTGTTATTGAAAAAATCCATTTCAGATCGGTAGCTGCATCTCCCATTGGAAAGATCCTCATTATTGTAGCAAATCTTCTTCATCTAGGATGCACAGACTGTGGATAAGGAGATCTTTAGGGCATCTATTCTCTATAAGGCTGTTTAATATGTCCCTTGTCCTATGAACACTCTTCCATAAATTCTTGATATTTAAGGTTGAAATAATACATATTTTAAAATAAAGGCCTTTTGTTTTGAAAACAAATTTAACCCTATAAAAAGGAACCATTGACAAAGTCAGCAGCTGCCCAGTGAAATGAATTCTGTGATTCATTCTTAGAGCATTCTATAGAGTTAATCTCATGTCCAAAGTGGGAGTATTTTCAGAGGAATTTGTGTTTCTCATTAACTCGAGGTGAATTTATGAGCATGGTTAATCAACCACACCTCACTCTTAATGAGTCATCTTCCTTCTGTGCCTTTCCAGATGTTTTGCACTATAATTCACAGGAACCACAGGTAATAGGACCTACAGTCAGATATATTGGGTGTGTTTTTGACTGAGTATCTGTTCCAGCTGATGCACCATTAAAATATATTGCTAGGTTTATACGGTTTAGATAGGCATATTGACATTACCAACAAATATAGGTTTAATTTTTAACCATAAAGAGCTTGTTTTGAAAGCTACAAATAACAATTAAGATGGAATTCAGAGCTTTTCCTCTTCCCTTCCCTCCAAGCTATCCATCCAGTTTCAGATAAAACAATTCATTCCACTCTTTGGGAATTGCTGCAACATGTTAGTCACAGCTCTTGAACAAACACCAGGTGTTTGCTTTTGTTCAAAAATAGGACTATAGCCTTGTGCTACTGGATTCATATCCTATTTGTTCTCAAGTCTTTTCCTGATATTTTGAAATGGTTTCTGGACAAATATTTCCGTAGATACAATTCCTCCATTTCTTCATTCACATTTCTACTTTCTAAGATCAAGTTGCACAACTGAAATGTAGAGATTATTGTGCATGCTAATCTGCTACTTTGAACATTCAGTTCAAAGGCAAATATGGAGAATTATCAAAGGAACATAAATGTAGTTTTCTTCGGTTCCTTTAAGAACACATCTACATATCAGGACCATTCCAGCTCAATAAAACCAGGTCAAGATCATGGATAGAATCTGATTCTTCCCACCCCTTCCTTTATATTAACAAATGGTGCTGAATTTGGTTTCAAGATAAAGAAGTGGTAAGAGATTATTTTCACATTACAATCACTATTGGAAATACTTGTGTCAGACTAGGGTGAGAGGATTGTAAGCCTTCTTTTGCATGTGATAAATTGTCATTTAGGTCAAGAATTATACTGTTTATACTGTAGATAAACTGTAGATCCCTCTATATCAGGCATGTTAAACTGCCGGCCCGCGGGCCGGATGCGTCATGCCAAAACCACGCCCACCCCATTGCTGGCAATGGGAAAAAGTCCTGATATGTTGTGTGATGTCACATGACGTCGCGAGTTTGATATGCCTGCTCTATATCATGCTTTGCTGGAATAATCTATGAAGCCACCCTCAATCCGTGGCTTCTAATGTTCCCACTTTCCATGGGTTGCTCTTAATCTATAGGCAAAGACATTCCTTTTGATTAATTTTTAAACATGTATTTTTGGAACTGTTCCCCTCTGTCCATGGTGCTCACATCTGTCATCTTGCTAGTTCAACATTATCTAGTCCAGCTGGAATCATTTACCAATATTGTGTTCTTTGAATCCTGGCTAATAAATCAAGCTTCTCTAAACAAGTTTTGTGCTAGCTTTTCAAGAACTTTGCCTCTCTTCTGCCCTTTGTGACTGCATGTCCTATTCTTGCAGGGTAACATTCAGGAGTAAACAGACAACACTTTGGCAGCTCCAGTTTGCTTGAAGTTGATTCATGTAGCCAAGCAGCTGTTTCACAATCAAATAATGTTGGATTATTCTCTTTGTTAGGAGCTGTTTGCTATTGCTACTCGGTACATAAAACTTTAAATCTTTACCATGTCACTGCTCAGCACAAAAGCTTGAGGTAATTAGGGAAAATGCCAGATTCTGAAAAATAAACAGGTAGAGACAGATGGTCCCTTTCATATGCTTTATATCCTAGGGCCTTATATGGCTAGTTTATATTAATGAATTTGCCTATAGAGGTAAAATTGCAAAAAGACTTAATGGCAAATCCTGTAGTAAAAAAGTTTAAAATATAACACTTTCAATTAATAGAAATATCTTCTCCTTGTTGATTCATTGATTCAGCCTTTCCCAGCCTGGTGCTTCTACAAGTGTTCACCATAATTTATCCCTAGTGCACATTTTTTACTGTACTAGAGTGGATAGAAGGCTAGAATTCCTTCTGTTTTGCCTCATGTTATACAACAAACTAGTGTTGGATTTTAACTGGGCATCATGGCAATTAAAATACAGAATATTTTAATTGCCATGATAAGATAAGATAAGAAAATTAGAATGTTAAGCAGTATGTCTCAGCAATGGCCAAGACTATCAACAGATTATTCCTGTTTCTCTCATTGATACACAATCCTTTCCCTTCCATTTCACTCACCTGAGTGGGAGTAACCATGTGTATTGGAGAAGGATCATTAGCATGTTGTTTTAGAATGCGTGTATTGTTTGGCATATGAAAACATACTGAGCCCACTTAAATGTGAAAAAGTATTCCTTCGATATATTTCTGTAGTTGATGTGGTTTGTGTTGAGAAATATTGGGCCTTTGACCCAATATAGTCTACAGTAATTCCAATTTACCTTGGAAGATCTTCCATCCAGTGTATGATCTAATTATATCTTCTTCTTTCATCCACAGGCCTATCTAAGAACAATAGATATCAAGATCCTCCATCAACTGGTAGCCGTGAATGATGGAATAGAAGCTGTCAAGTGGTTCCTTGAGGAAAAAGGGATGCTGACCAGCCGCTGTAGCAGCCTTACCAGCAGTCAGTACAGCTTGGTAGAAAGTCAGGATACATCCCGACGAGGCAGCTGGAATAGTCTTCAGGATCCCAATGATAAACTAGATAGTATATCTATTGGTAGCTATTTGGACACACTAGCTGATGATATGGATGAATATGGACAAAGCTCTTCAGTCGAGCCCATAATGTCACCTACCTCAGGTAGACCTCTGGGCAGAAGTGAATTAGAAAGATCGAAGGCAGATCTAGAGAGGATCTTTCTTGCAAAAGTGGACAAAGAGCAAGACAAAAGCAAAACTTACCCTGAATGGGCCTCTGGTTTAGTTAAAAAACAAAGTTTTAACAAGCAAAGTGCACCTGTCCAGCTGTCACCACCAATGGCTAATGGAATCTTGGGTAGACAAGTCCCTATGCTAGTGCAGAGCCTTGAGGAGAAATTTACCTCCATAGCTGCTGAGCCAAGCAAAGGGAGTCTAGCAATAAAGGCCTCCAGGAGCAGCAAAATGGATTCAGAGAATTGCAAACTCAATAACAGGAAACACCTGGAATATGATGGTCAATGGCAGTGGGCTGAGTCTCAAGAAGATGTGACATTTTTGTAGCATCCATGACTGGTTGCCTGGATTAACATAAAGAGATTCCAGGCTTTATGCTCTAGTCTTTTTGCACCTTGGACTGCAAGCTGTGCTGAATGTCTGTCTGAATGTCTTTTTGTTTGACCAGAATTATTGAGACATAATTGCTGGTGGACAGAATATAGGTATATTAGCCAGATGGCATTCTACTTCTAAGATCTTAAGTCTTTTCCAAGAACGAGGGTATATAAAAGTACTGTACACCTTTATTTGAAAGCCTTTGGCCCACCAGTGCTGCACTTTTGTGCCACAGTTCCAGTTTCTATGTAAGTGGAGGTGGGCATAGGCTCATAAGCTGGACTTTCAGGTTTTGACAAAGCTGTTCACTTGAGCAGCACTCAATCTGCTGCATGTAACCAATACTTCCCTAGGAATAACTGATTTTTTTTTTAATGAAAGAAACCAGAGACAAATCTTTGATACTACAACCCTTTTAATCGATGTTATTATTATTAATGTCATAGGAAATACTGCTTCTTCATTTGCCTGATATTTGAGTTACCTCCTAGGTTTAAGAAAGGAATGCAGAATTCTACAGAGAAGCCCACACACTCATTTACTACACTCACCAGACTGAATATGTCCTTCATTCTGGTAACCATGAGAACCAGCCTTCCAGCTGAAGCTGAGCAAAATAGTGGGGGAGTCTGTTGGTTTAATGAGACTTGAAAATCCTTGAAGGGCTGAAGCTTCAGCATTATGCTGTACTTTTAAGTGACTGCAAGTAACAGAAAAGTGCAGCAAATATGTAGGGATAACTTCTCACACACTTCGTTAGGCTTGGAAATTAACTGGGATTTTTCTGCTTTGTGGTATACTTTGGATGTGGTGATGGAAAGAGGAATCACTGGTGACCTTGCATTATACTACAAAAGTGCCCTGGCTGGCTGTTTCCTATAACCATAATATTGGCAAACCAACATACATGGGACCCAGGCCAAAACAGCTGTATGTGCATTCAAATTTTGAGTTTCAAAATTCAATGTCATAGTTTTAAATGGCAGCTCTACACTGGTTTTTTTAAAAATACAAAAATAAATTTATAATAAAATGAGGCATGATAACCTCATTTTGCCCAATAAATTTTTCCCCAGGTTGAAATTGTACCTCCTGAAAAAGGTAATAGAAGAGCTGGGTGAAATTTCCTCGTTGGAAGCCTATAATATTTTGCTACGTTTCTCAGAAAAGTCAGACTTTCTGTCCCATGGAAAAAGATACCAGAGGGAGTAGGAAAAGTTGGAAGGCTTATACATAGATTTTCCTTTCTTAATAAATTCCAGTGAATTTATTGTAATTTCATAATAAAATACTCATCTGGAAGCAATCTTGGTTAGGCTTATGAAGTAATTCTAATTATGATGGAGATAATATCACTGATGTGTTATGGATTAACAAGATTATACAGACCATGTTTCATCTCTCTTGTGTGTCCGTGTGTGTGTCCGTGTGTGTGTGCGTGCGCGTTGGAGGGTGGAGTGGGGGAGAAGGAATCAAGGTTTTTTATTATTATTATTTACTTAGATTTAAGACTCAGTCCAGGAGAACACTGAAAAAGTCTTAAAATTGCACTTTTACATTTCAGTTTAGTATAGGTCAGAAAAAAGAAAATGAGGAAAATGCATACACAAACCCTAAACTTAATAATACAAAGCACATTGTGGCTCAAGAAACATTTGCTCCACTTTCCTTTTAATTGGCCCATAAAAATGCAATAAATTTATGACACACTAAGTGACTAAGGGCCATGCTATACACTATGTTCACAATTAAAATTGCAATTAAAGTGTTTAGGGAAGAGAGGATCGGGAAAGAAATCAGTGCTCACTAGAACTGAAATGTGGAGTCACATGCTGTGGTTTTAAATACTTACCATTCCACCCAACCCGAAGGTATTACAGGATTTAGGTTGTTTAAAAAATTATACAACCTTTTTCAAGCTGGAAACACCCTATGTGAATGTGCAGTTTACATCCCATCTAAACTGATTCTGTTATCTGCCTTTTCTATACATTCCTCTTCTGAGCTGTTCTACATGGCAATGACTTGATGTCAGCTAAGTAACCTTGCTGAGAATTTGTGTCCTGAGTACTGCAAAAATGGCTGCCTTGGGATGCCATAACGCTAAATGGAGCACAAATGTCTCCAGAACGGGTGGGGGGGGAATCGTCAATGATTTAAGCATGAGAATCATAAACACGGTGGAAGGAAAGACAAATAAAAGAATCTACATTTGCAAGGTAATATATTCAGAAGAAAATACCAAAGAAATAGAGTACAATCATGTTATATGGGACTAGAACATCAGCTGTGCTGAACTGCCTCAAATCATAGCATGCAGCTTTCTGGGAGCAGTGCATGTATTTTGTGTTTTGGAAGCATAACAATGCTGATCTTTTTGCCTGAATTCTCCATTAGCATTGAGCAAGGGACAATAATGTTTGTAACTGATGTAGCTCTTTCTTGGGGATGTAAAAAACTATGTTCCCTTTGTTGCTAGAGAAATAATCTTTTGAGATTTATTCTTTTAAAATCACATATTAATGAGAGAGAGAGAGAGAGAGAGAGAGAGAGAGAGAGAGAGAGAGAGAGAGAGAGAGAGAGATTGTTCTTGGGGATAACGGAAATAGTATCAGACAAAGTCTTCCAATCTTGATGTCTGCTGTTTTATACATACATGATCAGTGGTAGCCTCTTTTGGTGCAAAATGTCATAACAGGTAAACTGATGCTGTGTTGAATTTTCAGGAGCTTCAATTTTCATTACAAATGTTCTTGCCTTATGGGATACAAAATATTTATTAATAAAGTCTGATCTTTAAATCTTGTGCACTTTGAAATCTCAGTTTACAATTATTGTTTCCCAATCTGCTTTTGTGATTGCAAGAAGGAGTTGTCTGAGCAATGGGTTACTTCCCCTCATTCGTTACTTGATATAGGCAATTATATTGCCTGCTAACTCTATGACCTTTTTGTCCCAATCCAGATGTAGTCAGTTATCTTTGTAAAAGACTAAATTTAGCAGATAGAATTCAAATGCTCAAACCTAGACCTTGCCCTCTGCATTGAATAGCTTTCAGTGAGATACTTCTACAGATTTGCATCTATTACAAATTTGGGCTATATATTATGTTCCATGATTTACAATGCTATCACTTTTACGGGTTTGTTTGGCCACTTGTATTATTCTGAGAAGTTTTGACCATTAATGGGACCAATATAGGAACTGCTATTTCTGGAATGGCTGTTACAAGGCTTAAAGAACATTTAAGTCATTTCACATGGATAGGGATCAGACACACCCATGTGGTCAGTCTCCACCCATGTGGTTGTGTGCTAAAATATAGCTTTAGTTCCCAATGAGTTATTCATGGCTAAATAACTACCTAACCCTACATTTGAAGGGAAAGTAAGGGTGAAAATTTGAGAAAAGTTAATTGTAAATTCATTCTGGGAATGAGCTCTCTCTGATATTTTTCACTCCAGGAGGGGAGAAAAAAAAACCTGGGTTCACGTATGGGGAGGATTTTTGCTGTTAGACTGTTTAACTATCTTTAAAGTTTACTTGATGCAGAATGGGAAGGGTCTGTATTCTGCATCAAGAAACGTTAAAGAAAGTTAAACAGTCTGGCAGCAAAAATCCAGGAGCAAGGAAAAAAAAACCGTTTTTTTGAGATGCCAGACTAGCATGCATTCACATGCCTCCAACCCCCATGCTTGCTGAAAAGCCAGATTGGAGCCCTCAGATTGTTCCTTCCAGCCCATTTCAGAGCCGGTCCAAAAGCGAAGGGAATGGTTCCCACCCCACCCGATCGTTACAGGGCTTTGTTTCCAAAGACCCTCTGCACAGGGTCCAGACAAAACTCCGGGACTGAAAAAGTAGCAACAGGAGTGAAGGACTGTTCAAAGGAGGAGGAAGAAAGAGAAAGTGGGAGAAGTCACTATCAAACAGGTGAGGCATGACAGGTGTCAGGATGTGGTAAGCTTGGCTGTGGGGGCCCTTCAGCACGGTAAGCAGTTGCGGGGTGCATGGAGCAGTTTCCCCTCCCCCCACCTGCCTTGTGACAGTGGCGCCACCTCCCCCGCCTTCCCCTCTGCAGAAAACCACTTGTTAAATTATTTGAATCCGATCACTGCCTAGCACTTAGTCAGTCTTGATTGATCTAAAAAAACTGAGTGGGCTAGGACTTGGAAGAGTGGCAGAACTTCCATATTGTTGCCCAGACAATGATGTGGATGAGTTCATATATTCAGAATTACAGAATAACAAAGTTGGAAGGGACTTTGGAGGTCTTCTAGTCCAACCCCTGCTCAATCAGGAGACCTTATATGATTCTGGACAAATAGCTGTCCAATCTCTTTGTAAAAACTTTCAGTGATGGAACACCCACAGCTTCTGGAGGCAAGTTGATTAATTGTTCTCACTAACAGGAAGTTTCTCCTTAATTCTAGGTTGGATCTCTCTTTGATAAATTTCCACTTTGTCCTGCCCTCAGATGCTTTGGAGAATAGGTTGACCCTTTCCTGTCTGTGACAGTCTTGGAAGATTGGAATATTGGAAGATTGTTATCATATCACCTGTAGTTCTACTCTTTGTTAGACTGGATATATTCAGTTCCAACAACTGTTCATCATATGTTTTAGCTTCCAGTCTCCTAATTTGTTGCTGTTCTTGTGCCCTTTCTAGCAGTGGTGGGATTCAGCCAGTTTGCACCACTTCAGCAGAACTGGTAGCTAATTTTTTGTTGCCCAGGCCCAGAACAGACTTCCGGAAGCGGCATCCACACAGAGAATTGGTTGGTCACATATTTGAATCCCACCACTGCTTTCTAGCATCTCAACATCTTTTTTGTATCCTGGTGACTAAAACAGATGCAATATTTTAAATATGGTCTTATTAGTGCTAATCCTAAGGACTTAAGGATTCCTAGATCCCTCTCACAGTTCCTGCTGCTATTAAGAAATATTAAGCAAATTTAGCTCAAGGCTTACTTTACATTTGAAAGGAAAGGAAGGATCCATACTTGTTAGTTCCTTTGAGTCTTTTTTACAATTAATTTAAAAGATAAAGAAACGATATTTTGAAAAAAAAGACAGCCTTGAATACTACCTATTATCAAGGATTTGCCTGCTGTCTTGCAGACTACAGAAAATATATTTTTGAATTATAATAAACAGAAGACATTTTAAACATGATAAACAAATAGCAGGAATCCCTGTGAAAGATGGCTGGGTAACTTGCCCAATTGTTGTAATGTCCCCATGCCCTGGAATATTCTACTGCCAGAAGTAGGCCCTGCCCCAGTTTTTATTTCGTTCAACCAGACTCCAGCCCATTTATGATTGTTGGGTGATCATTATTTATTTTATTGAAGATTTTATTATGTCCTTGTGATTTTATTCTCTATTTCTGCTTATTGTGCATCACCCAAAGTCCTGATTATATAAGCAGCATAGAGAAAGATAAAATAAATGAATACATAAATAAATTCCTTGGAAGTATTTTGTCCAAAACACCTGCTTATTGGACCAAAGATGGCAATATTTATCAATTTGTCTATAACCAACACCATCTAAAGACTTTTGATTTATATAGTACAGTATAATTTAGTGGAGTACAGTGCCATCTATAGATTTGGTTGGTGGTCAATTCTTGATGATTTGCTGAAACAAATGTAAAATAATATGCTATGAGGTGTTCCAATGAGATTAAGTTGAAATAAGTGGGTTTCTCTTCCAGAGTTTTTAAATTCGTATTAATGTGCAAGCATTTTATAATAGCAACATGATGCCCTTCAAATGTATTAAATGTCTTTAATTGATCAGATCCAGATCATTTTTTAAGGAAAAACTGAATTTAATTCAGTTGAAATTCAAATTGAACTTGTCTTGCAAAATATGTTTGCCAATATCAGGATTACCATCAATATTATGTCTTTCTATAAAATGTTTTCTCTTTCTATTCTTTATATTGATCAGATTTGTCCTCATGCTTAAAAAGAGAAAGCTGAAGTTGTGGAAGAAGATAACAGGGTCAGAAGGCAAATATTATTTTCCTTTTTTTGTATATTCCATAAGATTATGGCCCACATCTAGATGTTAGAAGGTGCTCTAACTGGAAATATTGCCTCTGTAATTTTGGGCAAATTATATTTATCTTGAAGATCCTCAAGACTCCACAATATTTTAAAACACACACCCATGTATACTTTAATTGATCTAAAGCATGTCTTTGTTTGTTATATACATTTAAAATAATTTACCACATAGACCAAAAGAATTACCTAAGGGGCAGAAAATTGAAAGAAAGCACAGATGTTCCAATCTGGTAAGTAAAAGTATCTACTTCGATGAGATTTGATGTGTGGTATACAATACAATACAATACAATACAATACAATACAATACAATACAATACTCTAACTGACTTATTCCTCTGAAAATCTTCATAGTTTCACAATGAATAAATGTGATTTATTCAGGCAACAATGCTTAAACAAGCTGCGACTTAGCATTATATGTGTATATATTTTCTAAATCAGGCAAAGATAAAATTGAATATGACAGTATATAACATTCCGAAATCCTAACTTTCAGGAACACAATGGAAAAATCTGCATTTTTTTATTCTTTTACAAAAACGTAAAGGCAAAGGACAAATGAAACAAAATACAAATTGATCCTAAGCAAACAAGAGTCACAGAAAGGCAAATAAACCTCAGAATCTTTCTGATATAGGGAAATCTTCCTTGCAATGATCCCTGTCACACATATGCAAGTTCAACCATCTCCAGCCATAGGTTCTTCAAAGGAAAAGTAAGAACACTCAGCTCAGAAGATACAAGACCTTGTCAGATTAGGCAATTCCATACTGGACACCCAATCTTTCCCTCTATTCTATGAGACAAGTCCCATTTGTATGACTGGGCCCAAGGGTGCATTTGAAAAGAACAAGTGTCTGGATTACTAACTGGGCAAATTTGGAAACAAGATTGAGTGGGCTGAGCATTATTCTAGTTAGCTGCTGTACAGAAGCCCCTTGTCTCTGGTTAATTGGATGAAAAAAAATCGAAAGAACTTCTTTGAGCAAAAGAAAAGCAGAAGCTGGCATATTAAACACATCCATACTGTCCTCCTCCTCCAATATTTGTTGCATTTCATTCCTCCCCACTCAAACAATTTACATTTCTTGTGCTCTGTATTTTTTGATTAGGATTGCAACAGCCAGTATTCAAAGGGAGCATACCATGGTATGCGTTTTACATGCTCTTGACATAGTCAGAATTGTGCCACTTGTTCTCCTCACTTCTCTCCCCACTGTTTTTCACCAGCAATGGAAATAATATGCTATGAAGTGTTGTGATGAGATTAAGTTTAAAACAAAACTTAATTGGAATTAATTTGCAAGCATTCTATAACAGCCATTCAATGCCCTTCAAATGCTTTTGCTACATCAGTGGTTCTTAATCTTTCTAATGCTGTGACCCCATAATACAGTTCCCCATGTTGTGGTGACCCCCAACCACTTATACATCATCGGGTGCCAGGGGCGTGGCCAAAGAAAAGGGGGAAAAATGGCGGACAGCCTTGTTTGGCGACCCCCATGAAATGGTCGTTCGACCCCAAATGGGGTCCCAACCCACAGGTTGAGAACCACTGTGCTACATCAAAGTGAAAAATAGGAGTATAAGAATTCAGTGCCTTGAAGAGCATCACCCTAGCTGGGTTGAAAATGTTCACTTCTAATCACCCCAAATAATTCAACTCTGAACCCCGTTCATCACCCCTGCAACCATCTAATCCAGGGGTGTCAAACTGCTGGCCCACGGGCC